TTTTCAAGAAGAGAGGCAAAAGATACCAAAGGGACATTCAAAATCATAAGTCGAAAATAAACTGACAACGTCATGGCTAAAAAAGAAAAGGACCAACAGACAAACAATAGTACACAAAACACAGCATAGAAAACTACAGACTGAGCAACACGAACCCCACCAAAAAAACTGGGGGTAATCTCAGGTGCTCCGGAAGGGTAAGCAGATCCTGTTCAACATGTGGCACCCGTCGTGTCGCCCATGTTAGTACAAAACCGGTAACAAATCTAATTAGGTAGGTCACATTCGTGAAAAGGGGACGGGACTGTAGTTAAAATATCATGGACATATATGCTATCATCTGTTAAATGGACATTCAATAGCAGTCAACCAATTCGTGATGGAGTCCGTAAAATTAACGAAGGGATGATTTCAACTTCACCATTTGGAACTCTTGGTTTAATAGCTTCCTTGTGAGCAGCAACCCTCTATCAAGGAAATCATGATAGGAAATACAAGCCCTGGAATATCGTATCAACTGGGAGATATATACTCCGTATGCAGGCGCTGCTGGAATGTTGCTAAATAGAAATGGAAAATTCACAATTTGGAAGCTGAAATCATCTCTTTTGTCGCCAAGGTTTGTTTTCAACCGACCCTCAATGTCAATTTCTAGATGTAAGTCAAGATATGAGGCAGATTTAACTGTATCTGTTGTATCCTTTATCTCAAGTTCGATTGGATAGATGCGTTCAACATAGTCACCAAATTTTGTATTATTTAGTGAGAGAACATCATCTATATAGCCGAAATAGCCGCAAGTTAAGTTAAAGGATACTGCTAACTTTTTTTCTTTCTTACGAAGAGTTCCTGTATGAAATCAGCCTCATATGAATAAATGAGTTGGTTCCCATGGGAATGCCGATTGTTTCTTGAAAAAACACGTCCTCCAAACGTAACAAATATGTTGTCAATCAAAAAATCAAGCATCTTGATAATGTCAGTTTCAGAGAATATTTTGTTTGAATCAGAGTGATTTCTTACAAAGTAGGATTTATCCCTCCCTAAGACTTTTATCAACGTTGGTCGTTCTTTTTTAGGAAACAAAGCAGGACCAACTTTTTCAATTTGTCTTTTTAGTTTGGAATGGGTAATACTTGTGTATAGTGTAGAAAAGTCAAATATTGTAATACTATTGCAAGATGAAAGAGTCTTAGATTGTATGTACTCTAAAAGATCTTTGGAATTTTTTAGAGGTTTCGTGGAGCACTTGAATGACCCAGCAATATACAGTTGTTTGTAAGGACACTTATGTAGTTTTAGGTATCCAATGGAGTGATTGAAGATTCAGTTATTCATCCTTGGTTGAAATTCAACAGGAACATAGAACAGACCTATATGATTATCCAGGATTTCCTCTTTAGCAAGTGTTGTGGGGGTATATGTTGAGTTTCCAAGTGAATTGTCAATACCTAATTCATTTATCAAGCAGTTTATGTAATGTTATTTACATACAAAAACGATGTTACTTGGGGCTTTATCTGCGGGGACAACAACATATTTGTCATGGAGGTAGTGTTTGGCAACATTTGGATCTTTAAAGATTGATATAGCATGGGTATTAATAGACCCCACCGTATTTTTGCGCCTGTCTCAAGTCAGGAGTCTCTGGCCTTTGTTAGTTTTGTATGGAGTTTTTTTTATTTTTTTATTTTTTTTTTTTTTATTTCATTTATTTGTTTCGGAGTTTAGTGTGACGTCCATTTTACTGAACTAGTACACATTTTTGTTTAGGGTTCAGCTGAAGCCCGCCTCCGCATGTGGGATTTTATCGCTGTGTTGAAGACTCATTGGTGGCCTTGGGCTGATTTCTGATCTTTGGTCGGGTTGTTGTCTCTTTGACACATTCCCCATTTCCATTCTCAATTTTATCCATTCAGTTTCTTAATTCTGTTAGGAAGTTATGCAAAAATCAGATGTAAGCCGTCATTTCTATCAAACTTTTAGTGAATTTATGCACCACACTAATATCTTCATAAATACAACTTTTGCAAATATGGCTTTGTTTAAACACTTCTAGTTCATATATTAACTAACTTATGTTAGATATATGGTTAGGGATGATACTGTTGCAACATGAATTCTAAACTGACCATTTGAGGCATATATTGTGAACTTTCATTGACAAATAGGCATACAGTAAGATGTGGACTGGAGACACAGGCAGGATTGGATACTTTGTATAATCTTGAATGTTGGAATGATTAACTACTAAACATTACATTTATAGTATTTTAAAATGCTTTCAATTTGTTATCAGAATAGTTTCAAACAGGTTTTAGACAGTTCATGTCAGCAAACAAGCACATAGGGTAAGCTGGCAATAATTAAAGTCTTGTTTTCAAATTCTTTAAAAAATTGAAACAGGGATAGGGGTATAAAATGTACTGTAAAAGGAAACTTAGAGTATATGCAGTGATTTCTTTAAGTCTATAATTCTGATAAATAAGTATTGTTGTGAGAAAAAGTGTTTTTAGAGAGTTTTCTATTTGAATAAATGTTTGTATAGGTTGCACTTTGTAAATACAGCTGTTTCTCAAACCACGCCTCTTTTGGGGAGATATATAATATTCATAGATATGTTAATTCGTTAACGTACTAGTTCCCATTTATGATCTCTGTGTTTCATTTCATAGAGACATCAATTGGGAATGTAACCAGTATAGAAAAACATGGTAGCGTAAATTTTAATTCTTAGGAGGTCTAAAAATAGAGGTAAGGATAGTATAGAATTTTAGTATAAGTTTAAACTCTTAGAAGTTCAGGGCATATAAATGTTGAAAATATGCCGCACAGTCCTATATTTTGACCTTTGAATAAAATAGTAGTGCATATAAACTTTCCGTTTTAGGATATTATTTTTCACGAAACTTCATAGTAAAAGTGTCACAGTTTTAGCCGCAAAGGGAGTTCCTATGGGAAATTGCATTGTCTATATTTACAGAATTGCAACCTGTATATGTTCATTTGGATTGCCTTACATTAAAGTAAAGCTGAAATACTTTTCTCTAACATGTTATCACAGGGCTATTAATGATCAAAGAAACTTTCCTCTCCGTTATCATGCATTCGTGAATCTTACTTTATATATCCCAGAGTTATAGGGTTTTACAGAAAAATTGAATAGTATTCTATATCACCCACTTACTCCGGTATGCTCGAAATAATTATTTATTAAAACTTTACCATGTTTACATTGTTGTAAATATTGATAAAAGACAGATCTCTATTTTTTTTCTTTTAACATCTCTGATTTGTAGTTTTAGTCTAACGGGACTTTAACTTCAGATTTAAGTAAATTTTTCACACGCAATCCAGAAAAAGCGCTTTTTGACTCATTATAATTTCGACGTGTTGTTTTTCATTTTTGGGTCGAATTACTAGAAACTTCACAAAACTTGTTAGAGTTGGTGAAAGAAAGATGCATGAAAATTTTCTGGTTTGTCGTTCCAGAGTTATAAACTTATTGGACTTTTCAACCTTCATATTCAAGGCAATATTTATACACCGAAGGCTATCCAAAAGAAACTTTTTCTACAGTGTCATTTCTGATAAGATGTGTATTCTGACAATAATTAGTATATTTACAAGACGGGTATATCAAGCGCCCTTGCTTAGCTGCTTATTCTTTATATTTTTCTTCTCCTTTGACAAAAATATGCAAGACCTTTTATATGTTGGAAATGCATTATTTATAGATAAATTTCAAATATGAACCTCTGATTTGTTTTAAGAAAAGACAAACGTTATATGCATAGAATTCACAAACAATTGTATCCCCGTTGAAATAAGCAGCACAAAAATGAGGGGAAATTACAAACTAAATTATATTTATGCCTGTCAGAAGTTTTATGAGGCATAAACACAATTTAGATTCCAATAATAACAGGAAATATCGATGGTATTACATGTAGGTCTCAAGACTTGAATGTCAGCTCGTGTACTAGGCGAATTGCGTCACGAATAGATTTCAGATTTTGCTTGACCCTGTATGACTCTATATGTTAGGGGAGACAATTCTTAGAGCTGCACCATTTATGTCAATTTTCTGCTAGTTGTCATCCGCGTATTTTTGATATAATTGTTCCCTTCGGCTATATGACTATTAATGATCATATGCGTACTTTTTCTAGCTGAATATCGACAGGTGAAAGTACAAGCTCCATTATAAATGATTTTTGTAAAGTTAAACAGAAGTGCTTGAAATGTAAACCGGTGAATTATAATTCAAATGGTACTTTTATTGCACAACCGAGTTTGACAATCAATCACAACACATCTTATCATTACTTTATCGTGACTATAAAATTTTTTGTTGACACTATTTATTTCACTGCTATTAGATTGATGAATTTCGGAGATAAATAGACCTGAATAAGTTTACATGATTTGTTTGATGAATATGATATAAGTGGATGACGTAAGGCGTTAACGATACTATAATTTACACTTATTTCGCCGTTTATGGAAAAGAAAAGTAATGACATTCTGATGTGTGACCTTTCACTTTTTCAATATTCAGAGATTTGTAAAGATGTTTATTCAAATATCAACAGGTTTTTTTGTTATAATCATATGATAGTATAAACATGTTAACATTTCAAGGAAAACACTAAAGGTCTAACTAGTGGATTTGAAACAACTAACCCATCCACAGAGCCTATGTTAAGTCACAATCTTTAGTTTTCTGTGTAAATTCCTATTTGTCTAACATGCATCAAAACTTTCCCTTTGGTTATGTTTTTGTCTGCCCTTCAAAGACCTTTGCGTTACTGTTCCCAATGGTATCTTTTTTTTCTGCATACCAACATTTTACTTGTAAAATTTAAATGGATTTAACGAACTAATAATTCGATGTGACAATTATTGTTTTGTACTAAAAAAATAACACTTCGATCGTATGTGTTAAATAACAATTAATAAAGAAACAGGAAGTTCAAATTATTAAGTACAGACATGTATCTACGGATGAGTTAACAATTGTATTGTGTTTTATATTTATACCAGAAGTGGAAAAATTCTTCCGGGTCTAGCCTAGATAAGTACAATTGTGAGTACGATCAATATTAGAAAAAACATCACTAAGAGACAGGTCTACTAAATGTTAAACTTGAGAGAATGGACCATAATCCATTGCTTTGCATAATTTGTAATCATTGTTACATGTATCCTTAACAAAATTAGTTTCTGTATTGTTATTGACATTTTGATATTAAAATAGTTTTCCGCACACTCTTTACAGTTGCTTCAGGTTGTCCTAAATAGATGACTTTTTGTGATATATGGAATGTGTAGTGATCCTTGCTTACGTCCCTAATCGTCAGTCATTCTGCTATCTGCTTTGATCATTATAATGTATGTCCTACATTAAATCAGTAAAAAGACTGCATATTTGTACAAAAAACCAAACAGAAAAAAGTCATACAGTTAACGTTTTGCCTACTAATTCTGGAAGTAAACTTTCATGCAGTGGTCCTGTTTAAAATCTCTTTCGAAAACAAAATTAACAGTCATCTGCAGTGTATATAGTCAAAATATTGCCGAGATTTGTAACCTCCCGACCAAGAGAGCCGCTGTTAAATGTTGTGTTAAAGATGTTATGTTACCTTTATGTTCTGTTCCAGTTGCTTTCCAATTTCCAATTATCATTACAATCACAATTCCCTTCGTCCCCAACCGTTTCACGAATTTGCAGATATCGAATTGCCTTGTGGCGTACAAATGAATTATGAATATAAAATAAGAAGATGAGGTATGTTTGCTGATGAGACAATTGTAAACACCATAAATGTGGTTCATTCTGATTACCTATTTTTTACACCAAATTAAAGCAATGTATCGTGGACTTTAAGTCTTTTTCTGTTTTAATTTCTCAAAGACCGTGGAGCAGATAACGTGCCAAAAATGTGTTAAATATATTTACTATATATTTATATAATTCCTAATCAGGTATGAGAAGGATACTACAAACGTTGCTACTACCCTCAAGGGTACATTGTCGTACCTTGACCAGAAGATAAATCAAGCTGCTAAATCTGTATTGCTTTGACAAGGGATTATTGCACAAGCAGATCGTCCCATTACCACAACACCCTCCGCAATTTAGCTGAATATAAAAAAAAAAAATGTGGTATGAGACAGCTCTCCACAAGAGACCAAATGACAGAGAAATTAACAACTATAGGTCCCCGTACGGCCTTCAACAAACCCATACCGCATAGTCAGCTATAAAAGGTCCCGAAATAACAAATGTAAAACAATTTAAATCTTTACAACTTATAGTTCACAGACCGTCCCTCAGGAAAAGTCAAATTTGTCAGACGTATTCTCCTGCGAACAACATACAGTCATTTTTAAAAGACATTATCATTGTATCTTTAGTTCCGTTTTTTAAACAAATGTAAAGTGAATATATGTATGAGTACGTGAAAAAAAAAATTACAGGAAGCGTGTTAACTTGGTATTACAATGCACATAAAGCGGATGATGTACAGATTTACATGAATCAAAGTCTCAAAATAGTTGTTAGCATAAACAAACTGATGTGTGTTTTTTAATTAGAGCTGGTTGACTGCAAGTCCTCGACATTATCATTAGGTGGTCAGCCGGTCCTGTTGTGTACCTTGGTAGTCGTATGTTTGATGTTCCATAACGAACAGAAAGCGACCGTTAAACTTAAATCACATTTGAAAACGATATTTAACACGTAGTATTCCAAGAGCATATTCAGTTGGCAAGAATTGTTTTTTCGCTTAAACTGAATCACAAGACAATTATGGGCTGTATTTATCCATTGTAGTTTCTCTGAAAATCTTCAACATACACAAACCAATGTAAGTCACATTTAAATGATCATATATTTATTCGCTAAAAATAGTTCAATTTAAATATTGATGCAAGCTCGTCTCCTTATTATTTTTGTCTTCTCGTGTCATAAGTACCTATTGTAAAAATTAAATGGTCCTTGAATTTGATATTATATGTACTTTGTGAAAAAAAACTTCCTTGTTTCAGAGGAAACCACGATGATTTTGTGATATGAGACTATGGAGAAACTTCAGCTCTTGGTTCATTTTCTTCTTATATCATGGAAATGTGAAGGTATGAGATATAATATATTTTTTGTCAGACAACTATTTGCATCGTTCAAAACCACCTCATGGTATGCTCGCTCCGAGTATTAGAGATCTTTACTTCAATCTGCCTTTAAAATTGATATCTGATGCAAATATGCCAGGCACGCGATCTCTAAGAGTATGGGCAAAAACTGGTCGAGTTAGAATAATTGATAGTGTAAAAAGTCCAATTGCGATTTTTACCTGGTGAGCCAGTACGTTAAAATCATGTTTTCAATATATCAATCTATGATAATCCATGGTCTGTATTGTCAGGCCTATAGAATATATTTGGGAATTACAAGTGACTGTTGTTGAGTATATTTTGAAATACTGTTTAATGGGGGAAACAAAGAAGTTAGTAAGCTGTCACAATTTAAACGGCGTGGCGCCCCGTCAATTGGCAATGAAGAATATATATAAAATTGGCTGGTCGGTATAAGTTCATCTGTTCCAAAACACACTGTCTGACTCTAAACAAGCTGCCCTTTTTCAAGTAGAAGACGAAAACTATCGCCCTCAATCCCGGAAAACTGACTTTTCAAAGCTGCTGTGTTTGATTCTCTATGTTGTATTCGTCCTTGATTATTTTTTAACAACAGTCGAGTATTCATAATTATACTGACGGACTTTAAAAACGTAGCACACGTTTTGGTGATGTTTTACCAAATCATACTTAATCTTTATATAATTGCTATTAATGTTTACCATACTTCTTTCTGTTTAGATAAAATAAATTCCTGACTAACCTTAGGTATTTGAACTTACCGGATTATTGTCGTATCACGCTTCCTTAACGCGAGATTTGAAACCCATGCATGATTTTTTCTTTTAATCCTTACCCACACTTAAATCTTAAATCAGTAAAAAAAAAGTTGCATTTCCATATTGTCGAGACTGTGCAATAAAAATCTGAATCAGGGTATGAGAATGCTGCAGGCAGGAATACATCAACGTGCTGTTGCTAGACAATTTCACGTCAGAAACTCCTCTGTCAGTCCTTACAACAACGGTACAGGCAGACGGGATCTGTTTATGACAAGCCATGACCAGATCGCCCTGTAGTGGCAAAGCCACGTCAATAATTTCATTACGCAACGCCATTTGAGAGACAAACTTACGACTGCAACGTCAACTGCTAACCAAGTCGTCGGATGTCATGACAGACAGATTCACGCAATATAAATGTTTCCCATATACTGAAATGCCATAGAATCTACATAGAATCAAAAACATAATTGCCAAAACAGACTGTAACGGGTGAGACAGAGCCTAATCATAAGGGACAAAACAAATCTCAAAACATACCCAACAGAACTGGTTGACTTTTCTGTCAATCGTTTAGGTGTTGGTTACAGGCAGTCATTGCCTTCGACCGTGACACATCCATTGATAAGGAGAAAATAAAGGTTTCACTGCATACCACATACGTGGCGTAATCAATTCAACTTTCGACCTGCCAAATTTATTTGCACGATGAAGTAATGAATGGAATTTATGTTTATATTTATTTTGCGGGTATATGTATTGCATATTTGAAAATTAAAATTAAAAAGATTAATCTAGTGTTGCGTTAAATCAGTATTCAGCTGCCTTGTCATGTTAAAGACCTACATTTACCTACGTATATTTTCAAACGAAATCTACAATACAATGATATCAAATTACCTTTTGGTTAAAATTTACGCTACACAACTGCATGTTATTTTTCTTAAAAATTCACATTAATATTGTCCTGTTATGACCCTCATGTATATGGACTATATGTTTTAAAAGTATTATTTCATTGCTGAGCGTCATGCCAACCAAGGAATGTTTATCTTCAAGCCCGTTTCATGACGGCAGGTGTATTCACTTATACACAGAAATAATTTCAATAGTCCATTTCATAGGAAATATTAGTTTTAAAGGCTATTTTGTACTCACCATCTATACATAAACAATTTGACAGACTTAATGACTTTAAACTCATTTAAAAACACCTTTATTACTTTTATAGAATTATCATATCTTTTTTTATATATGCCTAATATTTCTACGTATTTACACATCCCTGGCTTTTAAATGGCTAGGATAGAGCGTCCTTGATTAAGGTAAATCAAGAAAAGCGCGTTGGACGCACGAAAATCATAAAGAGTTATCACTGTGTAGCATCACAACCGGATATAAGAAACCCGCGAAGCAGTGGTAAAAACAAATGTGAAGTCAGGTAAGGTCAAATTCTTCTTAATTTTATTATATTCTACGTTTTGCTGACAATTAAAGTTTTGTGATACTGATTCCTAATAATGCCGCTACTATTTAGGGCTGATTATGATCCTGAATTGGCTTTCACTCTCTTCAAATCTTCAGAATCGGACCAGTGGTACCTGTTTAAAGAATCATGTAACGAGTTCAAACTTGTTAAAATACTTTGATCCTTAAACTATGCATTTGACGTTTTCGTAGAACATTAGTATACCATATTGTAGCTTGAACAACACTGTATTTCAAAATAAACTATTGCATGTATTGTTTTCAGAGAAATTCATTTAAATAAATCGAATAAGTTGTACGGCAAAAAGTTTTTTACTGTACGGGGAATAGAATAGATACTTTTTGCTAACATTGTTTCTTTGCTTCGGGGGTACCTATATCCGAAAGTGATGCTACACAGTTGTTTTTTTCATTTACACTTTTGTCTCAACAAATTAAGACATATTTGGAATTTTCAGAATGTTCTTTGATGTTTTCCTTGCAATTTTAGTTTTTAAATTTACCAGGGTTAACCATAAAAAATGTAACTCTTTACAACGAAGAAAAGTCATGGGAGGATGCTGCTAATTTATGTTTACATAAAGGTGGTGTACTGGAAAGTAACGTCACGTTATTGTCAGAACACTTTACAAACAATGGAGACAGCAAAGACGTTTGGCTTGGCAAAAGCAAATTATTAACCCAGTGGACATTTGTTCGAGGTTTGTACATTAAACTCTTTCTTCAAAATGTGGCAAAGTAAAGGGGTAATGATACATTATTTACCAGTCAATACAGCTGATAAATTTTGCAGTAATAGTTTTCAAATGTAAGGTTGTTTTTTAAAGAATCGTGCAATGGTAAATATATGTGTAAGAATTAAACTAGCATTGAAATTTCATGAAACCTCAGTGCAGTAGTTTTCAAATAAAAAAATTAAAGAAAACAATATGTATGAATATCCAATAAAGCTAAAATTAACAACAATTTGTCACCGTTGAAGTCATTGGGAAGTGATGATAATGCCCACTGTTCATTAAAATTCATTGTTCATTTAAAACTACCCAGATTCGTATAGGTTTTGTTTTATAAAAAAAAATCGATTTTCATTGTTTCACAGATAATGACAACATTGTCCTGAAAACAACCTTAATATTTATTTAAAACATCATACCTGGATACAATTCAAAGTATATTGTGTACAACTGAATCAATAAACAAATATTCGATCTTTTTATATGCCTGTATTTCAGAAGTTACGTTTTACTATGTTGTTAAAAGAAAGAATAAATCTGACCACCGTCGGTAAAACAAGTGTTTCTGAAGTAACATTCATCAGTAACATTCGAGGCCAAAACTTTGGAAAGCAATATATGTAAATAGTTTACGAGCATAACAATCACAGGATTGATTTAAAACGCAGTTGAAATTTTAGGTCAGATTTGTGACATTTTTTGGCACTTCTCTTTGAAATACCTTTACACTTCTCTTTTAATTGCACAATGTCAAGAAACTGAGGTTTAAGCCCCCGTCACACTAGACCAAGACCATGAAGATCCCACTACGATCTATAAAAAAATTAAGATCGCTGTGAGATCGTGGTATGGTCGTAGTAAGGTGCCCAGTCAACGAATCTGATCGATTTGGGTTAACGGAATAACACACGGCTGTATTTTATATCATTGCAAGAGGAGAACAAGCCTCATCGAAATATTGATGTCGTCGTTGTCTACAGTGGTCACGACTTTCTTAAATTTTGGTCAAAGGTCAAAGCTAAAATTTCAGGGAAAACGCAGAGTCACGTTTAGACAGCTTGCCGCCCCTACATATATGCGTTTATAGCAAAATAAATTCGAATTATTCAAAGGATTATAACTATTAATAGTTTATATATTTAGGTCTAATTTGATATTTCTTTTGCCAAATATGGTTCGAGATTGACATTTGTACTTATAGGGTGCAGATTTACAATTTTCATTCAGCTGTCAAATAACAGTGACCTTGACCTATTAAAATTTCAAAGTTCTGAATTTTTACATAATATCCGATACAAGTGATCTCTAGAGATGTTTTTTAGATATTAACATTTATAAGTTGCCCTACAACAAAATGTTATTTTGTCCATCTCTTGATAGAAGGTGTTCGTAATGGTTTTCTGGGTAAATACCCAATTTTCTTTTGGTGAGTGGAAGCACAACAAAATGTATTTAGTTTCAAAACTGGTGCAATATTAACGCAGAATGGATTGAATTAGCAGGTCTGAGTATATCTTTGCTTTATAGAAATAAGAAATACTGCAAACGGTGAAAAAGGGGGAGGGTTGTCTGTTAAAATTATGAAAACAAAATGACAATTAGAAACATGTTAATCACTCCATCTTACACACTTATATGACTTATTGAGCATATATTGGCCTACAATTGACATGACGTTAAAGATTATCTACAAAAAGAGGGTTATGTACAGCATCGATGTATTTTACAAACACTTATAAACAACATCGATCTAATTAAAATATATATCTCTGATTTCTTTATCCTCATATGAGCTTATATATTCGAGCACGCGAGTTAATATAGATCAGAATTTTAATCAGATTGAAACAACATAGAAAAATTGCCGAAGCTAGAAGAAGCAATTACGTTTTATTGTCTACTGTTAAGTTGAAAGCCCACCGACCAGGTATAGGTTAGAGAGCAAATTTCAGTTGTTCTTTTTTGAATCGAATTGCGAGACATAGAGAATACAATCTGATGGCGGCGGCGGCAACGCCGTAAACTATTTGTATAGCTTTATATTTCAGAGGGTAGAGGAATTAGATGAGCTGCGTCGGATAGAAATCGACCTTATCCAACTGCACGGATACATGTACATGTATAAGACTTTTGATTGATTTTGGAACATTCAAATACGAAATAAAAGATAAAATTGCTCTTTCTTGTAGGGTTCTTATATGAGCTTTATATCAACTCAATTTCAAACAGTTACAGACTTTGCATAGAAATTTTTCAACTCGAAATAAATTAACAAATGTATTGATATTCATTTGCATAAGGTCGATTTCTATCCGACGCAGCTCAGATGATTCATACTTTATATATAGATCCATTGTGTTACGAAGTTCCCGTTTGTCATATAATCATTGCCCTTGACCTCATTTTCCTAAGTTAAGTGGCTGTCAGTGTCTCACTTATCGTGAGTTCTAGTATAACTATATTTGTTTACTAATATATGGTATCCTTGCAAGGTCTACATGTCCGTCAGACATAGTTCACCTGACCTCGACCTCATTTTATGGATCAGTGAACAAGGATAAGTTTCAGTGGTCAAGTCCGTATCTCAGATACTATAAGTAGTGGGTCAAATATATTTGGTGTCTGGAATGATAGCAAGGTGTACATGTCTTTGTGGCAAAGTTCACCTGACCTTACCTCATTTACATGGAACATTGATAATATTAATTTTTATGTAATACTTGTTGTATAATATAAAAATAAGGAGATATGGTATGATTGCCAATGTGACAACTGTCTATTAAAATTAAAATGAAACGGAAGTAAGCAACCGTACGGCCTTCAACAACAGCAACAGATAGCAACAGATTAAAAAATGGTCTTTCCGAAAAAAAATTATCTTGCCACTAAACCCCCCACCCCACCCCCCACCAACAGCCCCCCCACCCTACCCCCCCACCCCCAGCCCAATTCAGCTTTGATATTACAGCAGTTGTGTCTGCTGGTGTATAACTTATAACACGAACGGTGGTACATTTTGTTGTCGTTCACACCGAGGGGAATTTAGGTCGAAAACATCATGCAAGACCATATTATAGACTTGATGTGCCATATTCCGGGTGTAAAACGAAACCGACCGATTTGATTCTTATACTACAAAAGTCAATTATAAAAAAAATATCTATTCAATAAAATGTTTAAAGTTTTTAAAAACAGACACAAAACATATTCCTCCAAAGAAAATAACAATTTACAAAGTTAGCTGGCTATTCAAAACAAATAAATCAACCACACAACAAGCAAAAATGAGAAATGTATTGAGTGACCACTGTCCTTGTTTAATGACCTAATAGTGTAAGCAACAAAATGATTAACGGCACGAGATAATCCGTGTGTTATCAATGCCAAAATGTTGACTTAATTTGTGTTTTTAATTGCTAATTTCTTCAAAACGAATTGTATTTCACACATAAAATTTGGTATACGCATGAACTTTGTCTTATTGCTTTAATCAGAGTAAAAAAATATCGTGATGATACACGTAATAATTTTGCTTTCGATGAAAATGTGGTATATATCGGGTGAAATTTTAGTCTTACTAAAATGCTAAAATACTTATACTAAAATCACTTACTTTCCGCTTTCGTTATATGATATATTTAATACATAAACTATATTATAAGTACTATTTCAACCACCAATAAATAGCGCAATAATTTTATTTTTCATGTTGAAAATTGTCCGTACAATGTGGTATCTGGGAGTACCTTGTAAAAAAACAAAATAACTAAAACTAAAGTGAAGCCAAATCGATACAGTGCAGCTGAATTAACAATTGCAGAAATAGGTTTTGCTCATGTGTGTCCATGGTTAAACTACAGTTAGAAGTTATTGCATCCGCTTTTTTTCAACAAAATGAGGCCGTGCAATTATCGTGCCTAGGATGTAGTAATATCGTAGTAAGGTCGTACTAAGGAAGGCAAGCGCGTAGAAGCAGCGTACTATTGTTGTCCTCATCGTGGTATAATCGTATCAATATCGTAGTAGAAGCGCAATAAAGACGTAGTGAAATCGGGTTAGTCGAAGTGAAATCGTAGTAAGGTCGCAGCGAAATCTTTTCCATTGGCTTTCCGATTGCACCACGATTTCCAATACGATGCTTCTACGCCTATCCCGATCTAACTACGTCTTATTACGACCTTCCTACGCTTCTACGACGACTAGTTTTGGCCACGACTGCACTACGAATGTTTTGAGCATGCTCAAAGTTGGTCGTGGATCTCCACGATCATGAAGACCTTGGCACGTAATTACCATGACCACCACGATCTTACTACGACTTCCAAAATTTTTCATAATTTCTGAGGTCGTAGCGGGATCGTGGTCCTAGTGTGATCGGGGTATATAGCAATGGTGATTTCTTATTATCAATTTCAGTGTACCAACATATTTTCATATTTGTAGCACAAACAGTAGCTTACACAAGTAATAGATTGAAATGAATTTTCAAATATGTATTATCTAAAAGGTATAAGAATGCTTACAGTTTCATTTTTTTACCAGAATTAAACATCGTTTCTGTAGCTCACAATCTGACCAGTGGTCTCGTCAACATTTTGAAATAGCGTTTAGGACTTTTATTTCGTTACGGTATCGGATGTTTACAATTGCCCATTTCACGACGCAAGTTCTAACATTTTTTAATATATTTGTTGAACTTGCTTCTTTTTTTCATCTTTTTTAGATATGTTCATTCCTGGTTACAATGTATGCTTGGTCTTATAAAAATAAGAAAATTAGTTTATCATGATGAAGTTTGAGTTGAAAACGATAAAATCAATATGTTCGAGTATATTAATTGTAAATATCATACGCACATTCATGTAGTCATTATTTCTTTGTCCCTTCCAAGAATACTCCTTGATATATAGTTTGGAACCAGTTTAATTGGCCATAGCGTTCATTTGACTGTGCGACTAAAATAAATACGCAGGTATTTCAATTAGAAATTGGGACGTTATATGCGATCCCTCAATTAGGGAAAGGACCACGTTAAAATACTCTTGTAAAAATTATCTAAATGGTCCGTAGCTGACCTATTGCAAGGCATTTCTGTCTTTTTCCTATACATGTTCCTTTTTAAGTGGAAATCAAATTTCCCGGCTTTTCATCCGGCCCACTTACTTTGCAGACTTAACATATTTGGCGCATTTCGAATTTGTTCTCGACCTAAAAACGCATGATATAAAACTAACAAGTTTGAGTCAGGTTTTTGAATTGTATTACTTTTATTAAAATATACAACTTAAAATAAGATCGGCAAATAACTCATGATCAATTGTTTTCATTTTTGTTTTTGTTTTGAGAACGACCAATAGCGTTGATCATGAGTTATTGGCTGATCTTATTTTAAGTATTGCTTCTTTTAAAAGTAATACAATTTAAAAACCTGACTCTTAAAAATCTATGTTAAAGTTTATTTTGTACAGGATGCTTTTACATTTATGGAGACTTCAAACACTTTGTAATTGAACCGTCTAAAACTGCAGAGCTTGAATGCCAAATGTTTTGTGGTGACTTCAAATTTTATAGTATCAAAGTAAGTATAATTATTCGTGTTTGATTGAAGTGTGTGTTATGTTATATTTCTGCAAATTGATAAATGCATTCAAAAGCGACGTTTTAATAACTTTTTAATTTAACCCTTAACAACAAAAAATACGCGATTTTATTTGGATTAACTACTTTATTGATTAATTTGATCATTTTCTCCAGAATGAATTCATCAAATAAGGTATAAATAAGAATATAAAAATCAGTCCAATCAGATTGTACCGTGTTCATAAAACTAAATAAACTCATATTTGTTTTCCGATACATGATGATACATAATGTAAATCAGTCGTTATTTTTCACATTTGATAATGCCGGAGCCTTTTATACATGACTTTGTACATGTAGCTTACTGTATGGAATTAATTTTAAATTACTTTGCCTATTATAGCCTGTAGTTTGTTAATGTTAGTACGCATGCAGATATGTAATCTGGCAAAGAAATCCACGAAAAGCGATGATAAGGACCATTTATAACTAATAATGAGATGCAACATTTGGTTCATTTTAAATTATTTACTGTTGCTTTAAGATGAACAACAGCAATAAAAGCGCTGTTTCCTTGCTTTTTTTTGTCAAGGGCGTTTGAGAATTTTGCACCTTGAATTAATTCACCACATCCCGTCTTTTCCATGAATAAAAAACACCAATTTCAATATACATGTATACTAATAAAAACTTTGACTTTTGTTTTTTTAAAGGAAACAGCTTGTTATTGTATTAAAGAAATACTGTCATTCCACAGAACCAATGTGTCGGCTGCTACAAAGTTTGGGAACGTAAGTACAATCATGTTAATGCACTGGTTTCTTCCTTATTATTTTAGACTAGATTAGAATAACAGCACAAGCTTTACTGTTTTCGATATGTACCAATCTGGTGGACATTCAAACTTAAACAGTGAAGTAGGTGGTTATTAAGGATAAGATTAACTGTCAATAGTATATATCTTCCAGAGGAAGCATATATGACAGTGTATAGATATAAGAAGATGTGGTATGAGTGCCAATGAGACAACTCTCCATCCAAGTCAAAATTTATAAAAGTAAACCATTATAGGTCACAGTACGGTCTTGAATTGTTCACTCTACTCCTTACAAAGAAAATACAAACAGTCATTTCTTTTTTTTTCAATTTCCCAAAAGAAACTAGACTGTTTACACAAGTTTTAAACTGAAACATCTTGTAACCAATATTAAACAATGTACACAATGCAGAAACACTTTCGTCCTGAACAGGTATGTGGTTAAATGGAGTCAAAGAAAACGACTGGAGTTGATACAGTTTAATTACCTTTTCTATCTATAATGTTTTATCATTAACATTTATTTAATTACAAATTTCGAACAATAATACATGTAGCGCGGGGGGTATTAACAATAAGCTATTTCAAAGTTTTCAACATACTGTTAATCATTTCTAAATAGTCATAATTGTCTTATTTCTTCTTTTAGACCAATATCCAGACTTTGATAATGCAGACAAACACGAACAATGCATTGCTGCAGTCAAATGTGATCAAAGAAAACTCATACGTAGTTCTGAAAAGTGCGAAGGAATAAATTACGATGTTACTTGTGGTAATTAACGTTTTGCATTCTTTGTTTCCCTCATGCAAAGTGCAGTTTAGGGAGTGATTATATAACTTAAACTGATTTCTTTTTTGTCAACTGAAATTGGAAAATCTACGATTAGTAATAAATTGGGCTGATTGAGAGCTTGGAGTATTGTGTTGACACTTGTTTTTTGTTGAAGATCGTATTACTAGTACATGTAAGTGATCCTGTAGATGCCTGTTGATTTTTTTCTGTGTTGTTGCCTTACCGTTTCTAATACGTATACACCACGTTAACTGTTATCCACGCGTTTGCCGCATTTTTGATTAAATTGGTATATTTCTTACAGATAATGGTGTACAACTTAGATATAACTTTTTAAAGTACCAGTCGGCAGCAGATGAATGTGCAAGGCGAGGCTCTTTTATTAAATGGTATCCTGAGAATTACTGTGATACACATGGATTACAACATCATTATTGGACAAGTGGAACACGTCACATTGAAACATTTCGTCTTAGAAAAGCATGTAAGAAATTTCTATCACCATACTATGGGTTATATTATAGACTAAGAATATAATAATTTATGTACGCTGTAGAAAACTATAACATGTGTTTGCTGGATCTTTAGGAGCAGGAAGAAAAAAAGGCTCGCTTAGCTTATCTCTTGTTTGGCAGTGAGTACAAATACATTTTATATTTCCGCCAATGAACGGATATAATATTATTTTAATCCTGCAATTAAACTTTGACGGTTTAACATTTTGTTTGTTTTTTTTTTAGATTTCAAACCGTTGTCTTTGATTTTTGTAGAAATCGTTCTTGCTTAAACGAAGAGGACCAGAATTAACTGTCACGTTTCATAATTATCTTAGTTATTAAAATTACTTTTGTGGATTGAATTTCTTTTATATGTTGTATAAATTTAAAACTACGAAATTTGATGTACAAGCTGCATATATTTACAAACTGCACCGGATGTTAGGCAAAGAACAATCAAAATAATAGTAATATATAAATTAGCAGTATGCTCAATATCTTATATCGGTTTGCTCTCTTTTATTTTCAACTTAATTGGTTTAGTCTTTTGATAATTAGATAATTGGGTCTTTCCACTTTTCTGTGGAAAGACCTATTGTATTTGTTCTGATTATTATTATTAGGTCTTTCCACTTTTCGGTGGAATGACCTATTGTATTTGTTCTGATTATTATTATTATTATTATTATTTTTTTTTTCTTCCGCCAAATTTTGTTCTTGCGATAAATATTTGTTTCGCAATATGTCGCTTAGATATTTCTCATATTGTATCGTATAGTTTATGCGCTTTTAAATTTTACCCTGCTAAGCCGAACAATTATCTTTGTAAGAGTTATCTCCCTATTCACTGTTTATCAAGTGTGTGCATCTCCTTCGTAACAAAAAAAGATATCGACAAAATTCTTTTTCTAAATTGTTCGTTACATCCTCAGGAATTTTTGGCTAATTTGGATCGAAGCGATTTGATGAAATTTTATAGGAGTTATCTACCTTTATCAAATAAATTTGTCGTTATGTTTTTTTTACTCATAAACTGTAAGCCGTATAAACCTATAGTCTTTTTATTTAAGGTCCTTGGATCCTAACTTCGAAAATGAGGTCAAGGTCAAAGGTCAAGGTCGTGTTCTGAATTTTGTCTTTTGCTTGTTTTTGCATTTTCTCCGATATTTTTAATGTTATATATATACATTTGTAAGAACAAGTGCAAAATGTTTGTTATATTGTGATGAAGATATAATACATTTGGTCTGAGACAATCCAGCGACATCTTATTGGAGTTATTGCCCCTGAAATGTTTTATTTTAAGGTAAATTGATTATTACTTCATATTGGTACATGATAAAGCCATAAGATCTTTTGCAAAATGTTGGGTGACATATGACCTTGAAAAATGTCAACCTGTTTTAACTTTGAGTGAACCGGAAGTAGTCATTTTTGCACTTATTTCATGTAGAAGTACATAAAAACCATATATTTTTTGAATGTCATACATTTTTCTATCATTTGAGACCGGAAGTGATATTTTATAAACCGGAAGTAGCATATTATATCATTTTTTACAGGCAAAAGTATTATAAACCATATATTTTTGGAATCAGTGTAAATAAAGCTATCATATGAGACCGAAAGTGACATTTTCTAAACCGGAAGTAGCCAATTATCTCCCTTTTTACAGGCAAAAGTATATATAAACCATATATTTTTGGAATCAGTGTAAATAAATCTATCATATGAGACCGGAAGTGACATTTTCTAAACCGGAAGTAGCCAATTATCTCCCTTTTTACAGCCAAAAGTATAAATAAACCATATATTTTTGGAATCAGTGTAAATAAAGCTATCATATGAGACCGAAAGTGACATTTTCTAAACCGGAAGTAGCCAATTATCTCCCTTTTTACAGGCAAAAGTATATATGAACCATATATTTTTGGAATCAGTGTAAATAAAGCTATCATATGGACCGGAAGTGACATTTTCTAAACCGGATGTTGACACTTATCTCCCTTATTTCAGGCAAAAGTCTATAAAAACCATGTTTATTGAATCAGTATGAAGAAACCTATGATTGGACGCCAATAGTAGCTTTGAGTAAACCAGAATTATCTTTTCATCAATTATTTAGAAAATTTATGTGGAAAGACCTTCAATTGTTCTTTGAACAATTGGTTTTTAATTGTAATATGAATATCTTTTCGACATGAATTGTAGATAACCGTACATGCATTTTCATTAGTTAAGTGCGGTCATTGTGCGATTTCTATTTTGCATTTAAACTGAATATTGCAAGTACCCTTGTATCGTAGTTAGTCTATTTCATGTTTTTGTATTACAGACTTTACAGAAAACCTACAACCTGATGAATGTTTTATATTGAAAGAAAACGAAAAAGAAAGAAAAGTGAAAGACTGTAAAAACAAACAACTACCATTTTTCTGTAGATTCGGTAAGTAAAACTTTGAAAAGAAATGATATAAAGATAACAAACATACGACTATTGATTGTTCTGATTTTATAACATGCGAGATAATAGATATATCAAGGGAGCAATCAAATCCATGAGTTGGAGAAAAACAAACAGAAAAAACGAGCAAGCTATCAAAGCATAACACAGAAAACTAAAGATTAAGAAACTTTAAGTTCAACAAAGTCAGACAGTTCCTACTCCATTAGTTACATCCGTCGTGTTACTCATCGGTAAAAAGTCGTATTTGCAGGAAATCAAAATAAGGGCACAATAAGGACGTGACTATAAATTAACTGTTGGACATATCTTTGGTCATCTGTGACACTGATATTTCATAGGAGGTAACCCAAATCATGGTGATCGCTTTCGAAGTGTGACTTTTAAAATTAGCTTTTTCGTTTGGCATTATCCTTGTTCACAGTAACGTTTTTCTATAAAATTGATATTAAGGAAGTCATGATATTGGTGTTAGATAGTCTTAACCGTTAAAACGTATATTTAAGGGTATGGAGTTACTTTACATGCAACAAGATCCCTAATAAATAAAGTATAACTGTTTATTGAAATATATGTATCTAACACAAGCAAACATTATACCGTTTATCTGGTTTTTTTTCGCGTGTGTTTAATTTTCGCTTTGTTCGCTGCAGCTAAAGAAACGCGAAAATTATGAAAGTATTGGCGTATCATACATGTCACATCTTTTGACAACACAGCAATCAGTGACATGTTAAAAAATGTTAATTATTTACAATCTATTAGTTGGTGTCATAACCCGAACATTTTGCCTATAATGGTCAAATAAAATAAAAATAAATCACATTTACACGGATATTTTTATATATGTAATGATCAAAACCTTCAATTTTTAGCATGCCCTAATGTACATAATTTACGTTCTTGAAAGTTCTCTGAATTTTGTGTGATTTCGATTAACTGTCTGTCAATCAAGGTTATGATGTTTACATCTGCAACAATACAGTTATTTTTTTCGCGTGTATTTTCCCATTCTGCGAAAATTATACACAGTGAAAATTTAACTTCTCATTTTGTCATCAAATCGCGAAAAAAAGCCGACGCTACAATCCCGTCCCCTTTTCCCGAATGTGACCTACCGAATTAGACTTAATACCGGGTTTGTACTAACATGAGCAACACAACAGGTGCCACATTTGGTGCAGGGTCTGCTTACCCTTCCAGATCACTTGAGATCACCCCCAGTTTTTGGTGGGGTTCGTGTTGCTCAGTCTTTATTTTTCTATGTTGTGTTTTGTGTACTATAAATCATTTGTCTGTTGGTCTTTTTCTTTTTTAGCCATGGCGTTGTCAGTTTATTTTCGACTTATGAGTTTGAATGTCCCTCTGGTATCTTTCGACTCTCTTTGATTGGATAACAACAATCGCGCGTCATTCAAAAATTAACCTTCATATCAAAATGAAATGTTACATTCGTGATGACACGTGCTTCCACCAACAAAGTGCACAGGTGAATAAAAGAAAAACTTGATAAAACTTGTTTTTCAAGGTCGTAGCATAAAATGTAATAATAAGAAATAAATGCTTCTTTTAGTAATTTCAATGGGTTGTAAAAGTATTGATCGTGCACACATTTTTAGAATGAAGCGGCATACAAAATGTGCTTCGGTCAACACTTTTACACCCCAATAAAATTATAAAAAGAAGCATTTATTTCTTAAATAACATGCTATATTACATGTTCTGGAATGTATTACAGAGACAGATGAGGATAAAGGGGATATAATTTCGATTCCGAACCATTCGATGCCGCAACAGAAAAACGTTCAGTCTGACGATTCGGGAAGTAAGTTCGATAACTTTTGACTACTTAATAAAATTGAGAATGGAAACGGGGAATGTGTCAAAGAGACAACAACCCGACCAAAGAGCATGTTGTTAAGAGTGGTGGGATAATATGTTCATAAGTTTCTCAGTTCTAGTTGATATTTTTCTGTTCCAAGTTTTCATTTCACGTTTCCCAGTTGAGATTTCTCACCATAATGAAAAGAGATAAATAAATGTGTGACAGTAATTCAATAACAAATATAAACGGTCTTTTCCCTCCAAAACATGATTGAGTGATTGATTGGTTGGTTGGTTGGTAGGCAGGTAGGTTGGTTGGTTGGTTGGTTGACCGAATAAACACATTGGACATAGCCTCTAGGAACAAGTGAAAAACAAAGAGAGATCCCTCATCCCCTATTAAACACATGGACCGGACACCTGCATGATTGATTGATTGATTGATTAGTTAGTTGATTGATTGATTGATTGATTGATTGATTGATTGATTGATTGATTGATTGATTGATTGATTGATTGATTGATCGATCGATCGATCGATCGATCGATTGATTGATTGATTGATTGATTGATTGATTGATTGATTGATTGATTGATTGATCGATTCAAAGTTTGCATGGCACTTTCTCTGTTTGAGGCAGCGGACTTAACGTCTATATACTTACCGAACGTGGCTGCGTATTTATACATCCCGCACAGCCAAACGGACGCCTTGGATGTCCTCATAAAATTGATCCTAGCATTCTCCGTTTATAATGTTTCTCTATTTTCTATGTTACCTCGGACTACTTGTTTTATTTATTTGTTGTGAATGCATTTTGTTTTAATTTGTAGGAAAACTGAGTAACATTTTGTCTAGGAAGTTTCGCTTTCTATATTTGGATGAGGAATGTTTTTGTTCTAAATTTAAGTCCGCGCACGCGGTGGTGTTTGTGAAGTCACGTGATGCTCGAATAGATATGTCTGAACTTTTTATTCCTTTTTAGGGGAGACCGTTGAATAGACCACATGTGTATTGATAAGAGTAACACGATAACTATTGATTTTATTTTGTACAGATAACTGATGTCTGATCATGCATGCTTTTTTCGTACACATATTTACGGGAGGACAGATTTGTATTTTAATGCATGTTTATTAGAAATTTGATTGTAGGATTTCACTAATATTTACGAACTTGGGAGCGATTTCTACGTCATTGATTTTAATTTCTCAATCCAGGTCAGGTCGTCAAGCGGACCGCACGTGTATTTATAGGCTGACGGGATTATATTTTCTTGATTCATCAGGAAAATCGATTTCTAATCGGTGATCACGAGTCTTCATTCATTGCATGCACACAAAAATAATGCTGTTGTTATAGTACATTAACAAAACTTTATCGATTAATTTTTAAAAAATGCATGAATTGGAGCAGATTTTTGCAGGGATGGATTTCTATTTCAGAAGTTTGTAAATAAGAAAGACTGCATGTTTACAGTAAAATGTACGGGACTGAAGGCGACTTTCATTTCATAGAAATGGGTTTCCTCAAACAAAAACAAAAATCAGTTGGAAAAAATGGGGGCGGGGATTTGATGGTGGTTGACCTTTGTTGATTAATTGAAATGAGATGCATGTAAACATCATGATAGCTGTAAAGTTTGAAGCTTTAATTAGTTAAATTGTTCATTTTACCATTTCAGTGGCATTATACGCCGGAAGAAAATGACGCATACCATTTCGACAAAAACTTTTCAGTTATAACATGTCGTGACTAACATTTTGGTTAAATTTTTTTTGTCGATATCTATAACTCTTTCTGAGTAGAAGCGGTATGAAGTATCAAAATTTAGAAGTTGACCTTGACCTTTGACCTTGACCTCAAATTCATTTTTGTGAACCAAGGACCTCAAATCAAAATACATTGGGTCTCTATCACTAAGATACTTACCATTCATGTGATACATTAATATATCACTTGTATCAAATACAGAAGGGTAAATAACTCTCATATGAAGTCTTCGAATTGCTTCGGTCAAAATTGGACAAAACATCTGGAGGATATAACGAGAAATTTGGTAAAATAAATTTTATTTTATTTTTCTTTTACGGTTACGGAGGAGATGCAACCACAAGGAAAACAGTGTTTGGGGAGATAACTCTTACAAAGAAAAGTATTCGGTTAAGCAGGGTTATTTTCAAAGGCGCATAAACTGTGCAATATCATATACCAAACATCTAAGCGACATCTTGCGAAACAATATTTACACGCAAGAAATAAAAGTGGCGGAAGAAGAAAAAAAAAAATAATAATAATCAGAACAAATACAATAGGTCTTTCAACAAAAAAGTGGAAAGACCTAATTATAGTATAATTATAATTTTTATCAATAAGTCTTTTTTCAAACTATATATTTGATAATGTTTAATTAAATAGTGTAACAACATGTGTAAACAACCGCTACAAATTAACTATTTTCCAAAGTTTCTTTCTCAGTTGAATTGGAAAATTTTACTTTAAAATTATGAAAAAAGGGTGCTCGTTGTTGGTGTAGTCTGTTGATTCAGTACTGTCTAATATTATTTTTTATTATTGTTATCTGTATTATGTAATTTTTTTATAATTGAAAACGGGATGTGAATTGGACGTTTATGATACAAATGTCCCTTAAAAATATAAGTTATCAATTATAACAGCGTTGTGCTAGTTTTTCATCTTATAGCCCAGCATAAAAGAATTTAAGAAATTAAATATTCCAATGAAATGTAACAGGGAATTTCATATTAGATTTTGTATGCACAGATTCTAAAGTATATTTATATATTATATATTTTGCAGGCATAGCAGCTGGAACTGTAACATCCATTATTGTTGTTATTGTGGTAATTTCAGTTCTCGTATTCATTCATCGACGAAGGTACTTAAATATGTTTGCACGTATGATCTTTTAGTCGTATTTCACATTTAAAAGCTCTTTGCTACCGCATTTCAATTGAGACTATATTAACTCAGAACAAAACTGAATAACTTAATAAAATTAATATGAATTAAAGAAAAGAATTGTTGGGCATATGCCAATGAAATAGCAACACAAACGCGCAACTTTCATAAAAAGGTCAGCATAATAAGGTCTTTTTATATGGACTAAATACGATAAGGGATATACATATACGTCAATTATAAAACCACCCACCAAAGAACAATCGTATCTACTTGAAGTACGTGTATAATAAAATTTCAGAGTACGTAAACTGCTGATATAGCCCATTCCAGAATAATGAATTTAAATCTAAAATTATAATGTGAAGCAGGTTAATTCTCTTGTCGGGCAGTAGAACTGGTTTACGGCCATGGAGCTCAATGAAGATATAAAAATCAGAAGATGTGATATGATTGCCAATGAGACAACTCTCCACCAGAGACCAAATGACATAGAAGTTTAAAACTATAGGTCACCGTCCGGACTTCAACAATAAGCAAAACCCATACCGCATAGTCAGCTAAAAAGGTCCCTGAAATGACAAATGTAAAACGATTAAAACGAGAATGGTATGATTCATTTTTGTCGTTTACATACCCAGTTCCATTTTATAGCTACGTTCTTGACTTCCGCTTCCTTTATATTTTTGTAGTCCTTGTTGATTTAAAGATAACACTTGGTTTATATAAATTTCAAATTAAAAGAGGTCTTTTGCCTACAGCCAGTAACCAAATTCAATTATCAAGCTGGTAATTTTGTAAATAAGGGTAAAGCGTAGATTTACATTTACTTCTCATCACGAATCTGCTCTAAATCGAACGATTATGTATACCAGTTTAATTTAAAACAAGGAATTAGCCCGTATGTAATTGCAATTTTTAAATTAAATTCGGGATTTCGGAATAAAATTTCAAAAATGTACTATAGAAATCCTGAATTCCCATAAAATTTTGAAAATCTTCATTTAAATGACAAATAATGAAAACGGCAGGATAAACATAATCTTAAGGACAACCGGACTGTTGTTAAAAAGATGATGTCGATACTGAATCGTAAGAAATCCCGTGGATTTACAAGGCAAAAATTGCAAATACACGACTTGGAAATGATTTTTTTTTTTCAATTATTTAATCTATTTATTTGTATATATTTATAACTAAACAGTCACAACTATTCCTTGTAGGCTGTCTAAAAAGAAACCGACCCTTCACGATTCACAAAATAATAGTCGTCTGCAAGACACAGTGGGGTTGCCTAGTAACTACGAAACCTCTAAGGCTCCAGTATACCATGAAATAGACGCTGAAAACTTTGGTCCACACAGTGGAAAGTTGAATTGTTCTCGTGCAGTTAATAACATCACATACGACCAGGTAAATTCTAACAAGATTCCGAAGTCGCAAAATGTGAACCAAAGCACAAACTGTTCTATTTTAACAAATTTGAACTCCCTCGAGCTTCAAAAAAAAGTTGGTCAAGAAGAATATGATATGGCGAAGGTAATGAATGTAACCGGGGATTCTTCTGAAGTTGCAATGTCCAGTGACTATTGTTTGGCAAAACCTATTTCAAGTAACACAGAAGAAGAATCAGATCCGTATGAAATAAACAAAGACTATGATCATCTAAATAACGTAAAGAAGAAAGAAGATCCGATCACAAAAGTATACGACCATCTTCCAACAACAGTTACTGATGACCCTACTTACGATCACTCTCATCTTAACAGTGCTTCAGACAATGGGGACTATTATGATCATTTTAAGAATGACGGAGATTATGATTGATACAAATTTGTTGCATACAAGTGTTAACCGAAACTATCAAAGTTTTGAAATTATAAAAAAAATACTGTACTAATTCTTGCCTACTAATTTTGAAATTTGTAAATATATTCTCATAATGTTTGTTTTTCAAATAAGTTTTGTAATTGTTATCATAAGAAAACAAAAGTGTGTTGCTGTATGAAAAGGGTGTACTTGGTGTTGTGTAAAAAAAGCATGTATGACAAAAAGAAGTCTTCGAACCAAACACAACAACACGAACACCAAATATCACGTGCAACATTCAGAAGATGTCTCTTCGGACACATCATAATCAGGAAAACAACCGCTTCGATGGTCTCGTGGTAGTGTGCTCATCCCGATTATGAGATGTCCTTTGTTTGAAATCGAAATCTTTATAAATCGGTATTCGGTGCATCTCTGCCGAACACGTGACATTTAGGGTTACGCATTTTTTCATGTTGACGTCTGAATTATTTGTCAAGGTAGGTGATGTGATTTCTTATCGCACCGCGGGTAAATTATGACGTTGTGATTAGTTTAACGCCAACAAGTGGTGACCTCCTATGGATCCGTAGAAGGTTAGTATGGGGTTCATAACGTCACGTGACGTCGTCTACTGTTAATGGTGACGTCATCTATTGATTTTGTTGTATTTCATTGTTTATTTTTCTACAAAACGCAGCAGGAAAAGTCCCGCGTGAGATAAATTCGTTATACGGTTCACTACTGACCCCCTACGGACCATAGAGGGTGAGTAAAATTCATAGATTTGGCTTCGGCCTCACCCCCTATGGATTTTACTAATCCTCTATGGATCCGTAGGGGGTCAGTAGCGAACTATATAACTTATAATGTCGTCGAATCCTTTTTTAGTCAACGATAAAAAGTTCACATAGCGTGCCAATCTAGTTCAAAACAATTTATTATCATATCTCACTAACAAGTACTCGTCATACTGTTGTGTAATGTTTGCCGCTGGACGTTATGGGATACCACAGGAACATTCAGAAACAAACAAACAATTAAGCTATCAAATAAGGTTGTTGTTATCGGAAGTTTAACGGACGCCATCACGGTCTGATTGACCGTTACGGAATATCACATGCAAACGGATATGTTGCAATTGTCGTTACTGTACATTGTACCACAATGGTGTCCTTTTTGCCTCTACCATAATCCCATCGAATGAGATTTTACACCAAAGGACAAGGTTCACTTAAGCCCAAATATGGCCTTGAAATTCAGCTTTATTAAAAAGTAAGTACTCGAGGGGTCAACTTTGAGGGTATCACTAGTGGCGCAGGATCTGCTTATTCTTCCGGAGCATATGAGATCAACCCCTGTTTTTTTAATGGAGATCGTGTTGCTCTGCCCATAATTTGTAATACAATATTTTGAGGAGTCGTTTTTTTTTTTTTTTTTTCGTTTTTGTTTGTTTTTTTTTAATTTTTTTGCAATGGCGTTGTCAGTTTCTCTCCCAGTTATTTGCAAAGCCCCTCGATATCTTCCGCCTCTTTTTCACCAGAAGAAAGGACACAGTATACATAAGTTAAAACTTTTATCTTTGTGTAGCTTTATTGACCATAACAAATAGACTCTTATTGCGATAAATATATCAACCAATTCTTCAAAAGAGAGATCAGTACAGTTGACAATTGACGTAGAGAATTTGGTGCATGATCATGTTTGATAAAGTATACCATCAAGTGGACATACACACATTATTGCCTATATACATGTACATTGTGGGACCTAGGTGGCCCAGTCTTTAAGTGTTTTGTCTACAGTATTACCAGCTTGTCCAACCCTGAGGTTATAAGTTCGAAACCCGCACGTTGAAGGTGCGTTCGACTTTCAATTGACTCAGATTTTCGGATTATCTTGCCGAGGATCGGTGGTATCCTCCGGACAATCTGTATCCCTCCACCAATAAAAACTGTGAGCACTGAAAAGTGTCGTTAAACACCAACAATCAATCAATTGATATATTAATATGTAGGGATTTTTTGTCATTAATCGTTTACTACTTTCCTTTTTAGATACACTGTTACTGTATTCTTACTCATGTTGGCTCATATACAGATACATCCACTAATATATTCTTTACGGCTCCTTTTGTCCTTTTTTTAGCGAACTGCGTTTGAAGGCGACTCACTGATGATGCAAATCTTCTTTAATTTTGTTTGTATTGATAAACTAGTGTTTTGTATTATCAACAGAGTGTAAGATATGCAACATCTCGCATTTAATTGGTCAGAATAGAGTTGTAAGCACACACTGTGTTTAAAATTCGGATTTATAAATCGGTAAATGATTACAAATTGGATTTATTTTTTTCAATACATATACAATAAGTTTAGTTGTTCAGCGTATTGCCTGAAATACTAATCATTTGATTCCGTCATCATATGAAAATAAGAAGATGTGGTATGATTGCCAATGAGGCAACTCTCCACAAGACACCATTTAGCATGAAAGCAGCCCATCCTGTATGAAAACAATCAAAATGTACATATTTATATACTCCGTCAACAATCTTAGCGTTTACACTCTTGTTTAAGCGTTGTTCGTGTACTTTGTGTAAACAGAATATATGCTTTTTTAATTTTATCAATTTGAAAAAAAGGATTCAACAATATATCTTGCAAATATGGATAGTTGATTAGAATTTAACAATTTTCACAATGTTTGATAATGGTTGAACTTTCATAGATATATAATGCATTTTTTTTCATTAGGACGCACCAGATCTAAAATTCTCCTTAAATGCATACAGAAATTCCTATTACAATATGTCACAAACACCTTGGGGTTACGTTTTGCTCTGATGCTCGATGAAATAGCCATATAGACAATCTGAGTATTAGTGTCACGAAACATTTAAATATACCGAGAAAAGTCAAGTACCAGCTTTGTGGAATAGATTTAGAAAAATATCTATTTACTAGTAGCATTCATAAGAACAAGTTTTGAATATGCAGCTGAGGTTTGGGATAATTGTGGGATAGTCCATGCTAATTAGCTAGAATTTTTGCTGCTACAATAGTTACTGGTTTGCCTATGTTTACGAAAACTGAAAGTCTGTATGAGGTAGTTGGGTGGGAAACTTTAGCTGACTGGAGGAATAGACGACATTCAATATGAACAAGCTCCGGATTATCTATCATGCAACTTTGTTTCACTCTGTGTACAGAGCACAACTGTATATCCCCTAAGAAATGGCAATGATATCATTGTTCCTTTATGTAGCTTATCCTTTACTAAAAAAAATTATATCATCAACTATTAAGACTGAAATCATCCTGATGTATCCCTTAGAAAATCAGACTCTATCTCAAAATTTAAAATCCAATTAAAAAGGCTAAATACTTTAAATAAAGATCGATGTGCCTACGCACTATTTATATGGACCGAGGAAACTAAATATAATTCTATCTTTCTTGAATTATGACTTATTTAGAATCAAAATTATTGCAGCTATATGACGTATAATTGAATCTATGAGAAACGATACTGCTCTGAGCTCACTGCAAAATTTCTGCCGAAGTTATGTGTTTCAAAGTTTTCATTCTGCAGATTCAAAATCAGGATGTAAACGAGAAAACAACCCGAACAAAGAGCAGAAAACTACGGAGCCCTGTTGGTCTCACACAGATTATAAAGTGTCTTTTAAAGTCCTGCGCTGAAGATGTGTAAAGTCTAGCGCTGGAGATGTAAAGTCCAGCGCTGAAGATGTAAAGTCTAGCGCTGGAGATGTAAAGTCTAGCGCTGGAGATCTAAAGTCTAGCGCTGGAGATGTAAAGTCAAGCGCTGAAGATGTAAAGTCTAGCGCTGAAGATGTAAAGTCCAGCGCTGGAGATGTAAAGTCAAGCGCTGGAGATGTGAAGTCTAGCGCTGGAGATGTAAAATCAATCGAATTATACGAATTCCAAACAAAAAGAAATTAGAAAATTCAGCAAAGAGTCAGAAACTCACTAAAATAAGTAAGAAAATACCAAAACGAGAAAAAAAAAAATTATTGACGGAAGAAGAAATGAAGCACACTATGACCAGCTTACAACCATTAGATAGCTGATAGTGGGGGCATAAAGAACCATCAGATAGCTGAACGTGAGCATAAAGAACCCTCAGATAGCTGATAGTGGGCATAAAGAACCCTCAGATAGTTGATAGTGGGCATAAAGAACCCTCAGATAGCTGATAGTGGGCATAAAACTCTTAGATAGCTGATAGTGGACATAAAGAACCCTTAGATAACTGATAGTGGGCATAAAGAACCCTTAGATAGTTGATAGTGGGCATTACGCAGCAAAGAACAAAACACCCTCAGATAGCTGATAGTGGGCAAAGCGAACCCTCAGATAACTGATAGTGGGCATAAAGAACCCTCAGATAACTGATAGTGGGAATAACGAACCCCTAGATAGCTAAAAGTGGGCATAATGAACCCTCAGATAGCTGATAGTGGGCAGAGCAAACCCCTAGATAGCTAATATTGGGCATAAGGAACCCTTAGCTAGCTGAAAATGGGCATAAAGAACCCTTAGATAGCTGAAAGTGGACATAAAAATCCCATAGATAGCTGATAGTGGGCATAACAAACCATTAGATAGCTGATAGTGGGCATAAAGAACCCTTAGATAGTTGATAGTGGGCATTACGCAGCAAAGAACAAAACACCCTCAGATAGCTGATAGTGGGCAAAGCGAACCCTCAGATAACTGATAGTGGGCATAACAAACTCTTAGATAGCTGATAGTGGTCATTACGAACCCTCAGATAGATGATAGTGGGCATAACGAACCCTTAGATAGCTGATAATGTGCATAACGAACCCTTAGAAAGCTGATAGTGGGCATAACGAACCCTTAGATAGCTGATAGTGGGCATAACGAACCCTTAGATAGCTGATAGTGGGCATAACGAACCCTTAGATAGCTGATAATGTGCATAACGAACCCTTAGAAAGCTGATAGTGGGCATAACGAACCCTTAGATAGCTGATAGTGGGCATAACGAACCCTTAGATAGCTGATAGTGGGCATAACGAACCCTTAGATAGCTGATAGTGGGCATAAAGAACCCTTAGATAGCTGGTAGTGGGCAAAGCGAACCCTCAGATAGCTGATAGTGGGCATAACGAACCCTAAGTTAGCTGATAGTTGGCATAACGAAGCTTTAGAAAGCTGCATTCTGGTACAGGATTGTGTGAATGTTCGCCAACGTCGCCAACGTCGCTAACATTTCCAAATCATTACTGTTCGCCAACGTCGCCAACTTCGCCAACATTTACGAAATCATTACTATTCGAATAGTAATTATTTCGTAAATGTTGGCGACGTTGGCGACGTTGGCGAACAGTAATGAATTTGTAAATGTTGGCGACGTTGGCGACGTTGGCGAACATTCACACAATCCTGTACCAGAATGCAGCTTTCGAAAGCTTAGTTATGCCAACTATCAGCTATCTAAGGGTTCGTTATGCCCACTATATATATATCAGCTATCTGAGGGTTCGCTTTGCCCACTACCAGCTATCTAAGGGTTCTTTATGCCCACTATCAGCTATCTAAGGGTTCGTCATGCCCACTCTCATCTATCTGAGGGTTCGTTATGACCACTATCAGCTATCTAAGAGTTTGTTATGCCCATTATCAGTTATCTGAGGGTTCGCTTTGCCCACTATCAGCTATCTGAGGGTGTTTTGTTCTTTGCTGCGTAATGCCCACTATCAACTATCTAAGGGTTCTTTATGCTCACTATCAGCTATCTAATGGTTCGTTATGCCCACTATCAGCTATCTATGGGATTTTTATGTCCAGTATCAGCTATCTAAGGGTTCTTTATGACCATTTTCAGCTAGCTAAGGGTTCCTTATGCCCAATATTAGCTATCTAGGGGTTCGCTAAACCCACTATCAGCTATCTGGGGGTTCATTATGCCCACTTTTAGCTATCTACGGGTTCGTTATTCCCACTATCAGTTATCTGAGGGTTCTTTATGCCCACTATCAGCTATCTAGGGGTTCGTTATGCCCACTATCAGCTATCTGAGGGTGTTTTGTTCTTAGCTGCGTAATGCCCACTATTAACTATCTAAGGGTTCTTTATGCCCACTATCAGCCATCTGAGGGTTCGCTTTGCCCACAAACAGCTATCTGAGGGTCCGTTATGCCCACTATTAAGTATCTAGGGGTTTGCTATGCCCACTATCAGCTATCTGAGGGTTCGTTATGCTCACTTTTAGCTATCAAGGGGTTCGTTATTCCCACTATCAGCTATCTGAGGGTTCTTTATGCCCACTATCAGTTATCTGAGGGTTCTTTATGCCCACTATCAGCTATCTAAGGGTTCTTTATGCTCACTATCAGCTATCTGAGGGTTCTTTATGCCCCAACTATCAGCTATCTAATGGTTGTTTGCTGGTCATAGTGTGCTTCATTTCTTCTTCCGTCTATACATTTTTTTATTCTCGTTTTGGTATTTTCTTACTTATTTAGTGAGTTTCTGACTCTTTGCTGAATTTTCTAATTTCTTTTTGTTTGGAATTCGTATAATTCGATTGATTTTACATCTCCAGCGCTAGACTTTACATCTCAAGCGCTTGACTTTACATCTCCAGCGCTGGACTTTACATTTCCAGCGCTTGACTTTACATCTCCAGCGCTAGACTTTACATCTTCAGCGCTTGACTTTACATCTTCAGCACTTGATTTTACATCTCCAGCGCTTGATTTTACATCTTCAGCGCTAGACTTTACATCTCCAGCGCTTGATTTTACATCTCCAGCGCTTGACTTTACATCTCCAGCGCTAGACTTTACATCTTCAGCGCTTGACTTTACATCTTCAGCACTTGATTTTACATCTCCAGCGCTTGATTTTACATCTTCAGCGCTAGACTTTACATCTCCAGCGCTTGATTTTACATCTCCAGCGCTTGACTTTACATCTCCAGCGCTAGACTTTGCATATCTCCAGCGCTAGATTTTACACATCTCCAGCGCTAGACTTTACATCCCCAGCGCTAGACTTTACATCTTCAGCGCTTGACTTTACATCTTCAGCGCTGGACTTTACATCTCCAGCGCTAGACTTTACATCTCTAGCGCTAGACTTTACATCTCCAGCGCAAGACTTTACACATCTTCAGCGCAGGACTTTAAAAGACACTTTATAATCTGTGTGAGACCAACAGGGCTCCGTAGAAAACAGCACAAGCCAACCAATGTGTAATCAACACAGCGAGTAAATCCCGCACCCGGGAGCTGGCTTCAGCTGGTCCCTAACAATAATGAATTCTAGTTTAGCAAAAATTGACGTCACACTAGACTCTGCAAATATAAATGAACCAAATTTAAAAACATACGAGACTAACAAAGGTAAAGGGTACATGACTTGGGACAGTCGCAAAAATGAGGTTGTGTTAAACATGTTTCGTGAGATCTTAACCCTCCCTCTCTAGCCTATATGGAATAAACAAATACACTGCAATGCGCACAGTAAAACACAGTTTAAAGAAGAGTGAGTCCGATGTTTGGATCGGTAACAGAAGAAACTAAGCAAAATGACAATGATGAACATAAACTTACAAAAGGCCACTAGACAAACAAGCTATATATGAAATAAGGAGATGTTGTATGATTCCCAAATGAGACAGACATCCACCAAAGTTCAAATGAAGTTGTATCAATTTTAGACCATTGTATGGTCTTCAATATACAACAGGTTTGAATGAAGTTTCACGTGGCTCTGTTTGAAAATAGCCGAAAATATGACAACAAAACCTTGTTATTTGGTCCTTAAATCAGACAATTAACTGTCATTGGTATATTTAAACGCGGTGTAAAAAACATCGTCAGAGAGAGTAACTTGTATGTGTATGATGTTCGCTTTTTTCTCCCTAGATTTTTAATGTCTTTCTTTTGAAATCTTCATAAGTATTGTCGTCGGTGAACAAACAACGCGTCCATTTATTATCCCACAACTAAGTCTATCTAAAATCTAGAAATATCAAACAATATAAACATGACAAAGAGCAACTTCCGATTTTGAAAATGCACTCATATGTCAACATGAAGTATGTATTCACTTACAGTAAATTTAAAAACTTCCTTAAAGTTTTACACTTATGCATGACGTTTGTATATATATATATATATATTTATATATCTGGTATAAGTAAAGATAAATTATATAAACATGGTGATGTGTATGTTAAACGTCGGTTTCGTACTAACATTGGAATATACAATTTGATACTTTTTACCACCTCTAACTTATATAAAGGTATGTGAGATTGGACTATTTTCTTCGTACGTGCTTCGAATTGGAACTTGTATGCAAATGAAAAGTTCGAAGTGTTGCAAAATCTGACACGTCCCAACACTTTTTGTATTAAAAGTCATTTGTTTAGAGTTTTCGGTATTTCTGTTATTCAACTTTTTGCATGTACTAAAAAGGACTAAACCTTTCTAAATATGTATGAAAAGTTTAACAAGTTATCTCCAAAAAGGAAAATACCTAAATACAAAGAGCCCCACCCCGGTACCGCCCCAAGTTAACAGGTCAACACATGTACATGTAGTACAGGTACTTGTTGAGAGATTTAGACTAAACTAAGGAAATTTGCATGTGTTTGAATATCATATGAAAGATCATAACAACTTCAATGCGTATAGATAATAAAACATTGTGTACGAGTTGGTAGAAGTAAGAGTTTATTTTATATTTCATTATGTATAAAAAAAAAATAGTACATCTCTAAGCCCCTTACAATATATCCCCTTTACAGTGTAATTCATTTGTATGACAATATATTTAAAAGTAGCTACGTATTTCATGTTACATATTAGTCTGGTAGGAAAATGTGAGCTTTTCAGAACAATTAAGCTTCTTTATTTGCGAAATAATCAATCAATTTCTAATTTTTAAAGGTACCGCAGAGTTGGTCAAAGATCGATATAAGTTTAAATTTCAGATATTAATCAAAAATTTTCGGGAAAAGAAATCCTGGGTCTGGAGCTAAAGACTTTTTATTTGCATGGTGGGATAATAGAGAGTGACAAAACGACCATAGCAACCAACTGAACAAACATGACAAGAAGGACACTATATAGCTTAGTGTTCATCGTATTATTACTTCATGGACGTGTGTGTATGGTAAGTCTCTTTATAATGCTTCTTACAGATCTATCTAAACAAGCAACAACTTGGTAAGAAAAATCGTGATTAGCATGATAATAAAATTATGTACATGTAAACATGTCACGTACAACACTTTTTAAGTGATAATCTTAAACAAACTTATTACCAGTTACATTTTGTTCTACATTGACAAGAAGAGAGGATGTGTGCGTTCCAAATTTCCAACTCGATCTATGGAGGAATATACCGAGAGTATTGTTAGGTTTCTAACAAATTTGCATACGGGTCAATCTGACAATTGCACAAGAACAAAGACTTATCTTATATTTTTATGTATATCGACGAGCTTATCATTTTTAACATCCGTCTAAAATCAATGTCATAAGGCATGGTACTTTCATTTCGCTGTAATGAAATTTTAGTTTTTAAAAATTGATGAAAGCAGTAATGATGTAATGCTAGTGCATATTTTTTAGGGGTCAAATTGCTACTGTTTCAATGCAGATGAACTAGACACTGACGACATACATGATGAATCTGCCGAAAAATGCTTGAGCTCTTCTTCCACGAGCAGTGAAGATTACGTTTTCATTTACAAGTTTAATGTTACAGGTAAATGTGTTGCATAACTCTCCACGCTCTCCTATTTGACGATTTCAAGTGTACAAATGATATGTAACGATAAAAAGGGCGGGGTTCATTATATACGCCCCTTTCTGCACCCGCTACTTATCTTTCATTATTAACGTGTCCGACCTGCATATAATGCATTTAAAAATGATTACAAGAACTATTCCTTTTATTATCTTCCGCCTTTCTTTTACAACCTATATTTGTTCAGATTCTTTATGTATAAAATTGTGATACATGTCCTTTGTATGCATAAAACGTATAATTTCGTCTAATCCGTGTTTAAATTGCTCGCTGGTCTTATGGAAACGTGCTCGTCTCTGTACCTTTTGCATGAAAATTTTACAATTCTGAAATAAATCAATGAAGCTGATAGACAAAATGTATAGTTGTGAAAATAAAGTTATAGTAAAATACATATAATACATGTACATGATGCAGAAGAAAAGTAAGTCGATGTTATATAATATATCTGTAGATTCTACAACTGTATCGAGTGTGATACGATATTTATCCATTCGAGAGTCACATTTTCAAATTTAAAACACGAGGCTTGCCAAGCGTTTGAAATACTGTAAACCAAGTAATTTTCGCGAGTGATTTATTTTTCGTGACATTCGCTAGTAGAAATACAACGCGAATATGTATCGCTGCAAATATGTAAAACTTGGAATTTTCCTTATTCATCTTCATCAAGTAAAATTTTAGAATAGCGAATTTAAATCGCCGTGAAATTGGTTAAAAAGGGCTCAACGCAAAATAAATGATTTTTAAACAAAATGCAGAAAAATGTTAAAGTCGTTCCTTTTGAATGACCTGTATCTATGTGACATCATCAGGCATTTTAGAATAGCTAGTATAGCTTAACCGTAGCTAGTTGGACCAAAACGAAGTTAATATGGATTTTCAAATGAAAGCATACTGTGCCAGGAAGATGAGACGATGACTCCAAGATAACTCAATTTTGGCCCTATAGGCTATATAAAGCTGCGTTTTGGACGCCTCTGAATTACATCGTTTGAAATTTATATATTAATTTTGTGATTCTACTAGAATTGCAATACTAACTTATTCAAAAAACTATGTCCGTACCCCGTTTCGACTTTAGTTTATAATGGTATAGGCAGTGCCATGTTTGTAATTTCCTGTTATTAACAAATATACACTTTTATTGTAGAATATTGTGTCGGTAGGTGTGAAAATAGGCTAGACTAAAAATTCGATTGTCAATGTAATACAGCCTGTAAACGGTAAAGTTGGTATTGATTTTCAAAAGAAAGCCTACCTTACCGGGAACATGTGACGATGAACCAAAGATGTCCACATTATGACTGTTTATGGTATATAAAGCTACGTTGTTGGCACTCCTGAATTACAGCATTGGACATGTATTTTATAAATTGCTTGATTCTACTATTATACCATTGCAATACCAACTTATTTGAACAAGATGTCCGTACCCGGTTTTGATTTAGTTTTTAGTTTTCTATGCAATGCTTATTTCTGTAATATCTAATATGCTTTCCAAATATCTATTGTAGAATCGTGTGTCGGTAAGTGTGGAAAAAAGCTAGACAAAAGCCTACCATGCCAATGTAACAAACCCTGTACAAAACACAAAGACTGTTGTGAAGACTATGATGCTTTCTGTTCAGGTTTGTTTTGTTCGATCAAAGAAGCACAAATACCTTTCCAGAAAGTTGAAGGTATTGAATATGTTTTCAAACTAGAACTGTCAGTCAACATTCTACTGTTGTTTTCTTTGCGTCTTATATATATATATATATGAACGTTGTTTTCAATTTAGACTTTTATATATTTTTTCGTTTGGGCTTGTATTATATTTTCCTTCGGGTTTATATGATCCGTTCATCCTATTTCGACTCTTTAAAATTCAAGAGTCTTTCCTATATTGAAGTAAATTATATGGCCTTCCAAATACCTTTTCGATCCCTAACATCACTGAAGAGACATTAATTGTCGAAATCCGGATATGGTGTACAAATTTTTGCACCTCATGCTTGTGGTATACCATCTTTTCCACAAGTTTATTGTTTTCTGTCTGGTATTAAATTAAAATTAAGATCCATTTTGTTAGATCTGGTGATCAATTTATTTGGCAATCGCCAATGGCAGTCAGCAGGGTTTAAGAACATCAGTTGTTCGACCTGTTAGTCAAATGCGTTTTGTTAAAATAGACTTTTTCACTTTTTTTTTTTGTCTTTTGGAAATTGTTGTTTGTGCTGTATTTAGACCCCTCTACCAAGAAATTTGATTTACATGCACACGTATAAAAATTGCGGTTTTTATCCAACGCAATCATAGGTTTGAACGTTGTTTTCAATTTAGACTTTTATATATATATATATATATATATATATATATATTATATATATATAGAAGAAGAAGAAGATGTTTATTTCCATTTAAAAACGGGCTCACAAGGAGCATAGTACAATATAAGAGAAAAATAAGACAATAACAAAAAGAAACAACAATTATTATAGTCTAGTATATATACAGTTTGAACGTCATGAACTACACAATACATAAATATATATATTCCCTCCTTCTCAGGTACACCCCAACATGAAAAAGTTTCTAAAATAAATTGGTAATGTATATAGTTTAAAAATTAAAAAAAAAATAAAAAATCACATTATAAAATCGAATATTGTTTCTGTTAGCGCTTTCACCGCATCTCCTACGGTTTATCAGAAAAAATTGTTATCGTTAATAGTAACGACTTGTGACGTTACCTAATAGTAACGTCTTGCGGTAGTTTGTATATATTACGGAATCATATTCACGGACCGAATTTCACTTCCTATTTAATTCGGCTTGTACAGTTCAATAAAATAGTGTTCCTTGGCTTCAAGCGGAAATTTATGTTCGGTCCACATCTTAAAAAAGGGATATATTTCAAATTTACCCTTTCCACATTTGTCAAAGTGTTCAGAACATTGAGAATTCCTAATTGACGGGTCCTTTATCTCCTGTTTGTGAACTCACTCTATCAATTAGTCTATTGGTTTGTCAGGAGCCTTTAATTCAGTGGCTGCCGTTTGTTGATGTGTTACATATTTGTTTTTCGTTCATTTTTATACATAAATTAGGCCGTTGGTTTTCTCGTTTGAATTGTTTTACTTTTGTCATTTCCGGGCCTTTTATAGCTGACTATGCGGTATGGGCTTTGCTCATTGTTGAAGGTCGTACGGTGACCTATAGTTGTTAATGTCTATGTCATTTGGTTTCTTGTGGAGACTTGTCTCATTGGCAATCATACCACATCCTTTTTTTATATGAAAATATAGTTTTCTATATAAAATTGTAATTTTCTAATAATTACTCGAAGATGTGCACACTATGGAGCTATACTACTGTGTATGCGCCCCTGTATTACATCTTTTGAAAATGAATGTTATAAATGTTGTGATTGTATATGTACTAGAATAACTATATCAACCTATTAAATTGTTATCAATTTTGAATATTCAAACGAACATGACAGTACCAATTTATGAATTTAGCTTTTTAAACTGTTGGAAATGATGTCTTTTTCTGTATGTTTTTGGCTTTCCAAATATTTACTTCTATAATTGTAGAATCTTGTGTCGATAGATGTGAGACAAAACCAGACCGAAGGCTCTCATGCCAATGTAACACAGACTGTAAACATAACTGTTGTGAGGACTATGATACTTTCTGTTCAGAAGGTAACTGTTTATATTTGTAAATAAAAGAAACACTGCAAGACAATGTTAGATCATTTACCTCTGTCAAAACATGGTGCTAGAGACATAAAAACAACGGTCCTCCCGTCGTCCTTAAAATCTCTTATTTCTTAACACCTTGGGTATGTGCATGTGAACATAAATTTAATAATTACAATATAAATCTAATATATATACAATAATGAATGAAGCTGACGTTTGTATTTCTAAAAGTGCCTAGTACATGTACATTTTATTAGTGCAGTGTGTTATAAAGATTCAGAGCTATATTCCTTACATGTAATAGTACAAATAGAATTATTCATTATTTATTAGAATAACAAGTAACAAAGAAGATGTATTCAACTGAACAGATACGAATCTTTTACTAATATATAGTTATCTAGCTGTTGTGTCTTTAAATGTTTTTTAGAACTTCTATTAAAGACTTTCGAGTCAATATGTTTTCAAATTTCATAACAAAACAAGGGGTAACGGTAAAACACTTTGAAATTAACGATTGATTAATTTTGGTGTTTAATGCCACTTTCAGTACGTGGCGGTCAGTTTTTTATTGGTAGAAGAAGCCGAGATGTCCAGAGAGGACCACCGACCACCGGTAGAACACTGACAATCCTAGTCATTTAAGATTTGAGTCGAATGCATCTGACCATGTCGAACTCCAATGAACTTTGTTACAGATTTTGGTAAAATTGTGCATACAACTCTGGCTCGTTGAATTATATATATATCTGAAAATCGAAAAAAAAACAATTAAATAACACTAATGAATTCTTTCCAAAAAGGTAAACATTTGTATAGAACGCAAATAAAATCATCGAAAAATCATAAATTTGTCTTAAAATCATAAAATTTCCAATTTCTCATCTTGTGAGGTCGACAACTAGATCATTTAGATGATTAAAAATCGTATTGTAGGGATAAACACTTTTGATGATGTACATGTACCTCAATTTTGTGAGGACAATGTTAATTTTACTAAATGGAATCCATTGAAATCCTGCATTTACTTTGACCAGAAAATGAATTATAGGACTGGTAAAACGAGTTCTAGTGAAACAGTCTCTGGTAAATTAATAGTATTAAGATTGAAATACAGAAGTCAATTATAATTTCATCACTTCATTGATAAAGACATATATTTTAAAAGGATTAAAAAAAACAGCACGTTACATGAACACATAATGCAGTGAGATCGGATATTAAATAAATAGTTGTCTCTTTGACACATTCCCCATTTCCATTCTCAATTTTATTTGTCAACGAAAATAAAATTAAAAAAAACAGAACCATGATGCTTTGTTGTATGGAAGAATATAAGCGCCACACCATCTTTAATGAATATATATTTCTGCCCATGTTTGCGTTATAAAAAAAAGTTTATGGGGCGCTACTACGATTCCGTATTTTCCAATCACAATAATTAATTACCAATACGATCAATCAATATTTCTTCAAATAATGACATAGTTTCTTTAACTTCTGCAGTACGTCCAATACCGAGCTTTATCTTTCGTTTGAATGTGCGGGATGTATTCATGCGCAGCCTTGCTCGATTGCATTGATACGTCAGGCTATTTGCACGTAAAAAAACAACTTATTCTGGGGTTGGGAGATGACCCGTTCCATTGGAAAATTTACACCATTTACTAAAACAGATTATTTCTGGGGTCTGCATGAACTTTGTCTACGTCTATAGAACGTAATTAATTGATCAATTATTAAAGTACAATGTATTCATATGCTGAATATTGATGATGTAATTGCCCCCGGAACGAAGATTGATTAGCTCAGGTTACTTACTCTGAAGCAACATTATTTCTAATATAGATATAAGAAGATGTGGTATGATTGCCAGTCTCCATCAGAGAACAAATGACGTAGGAGTTAACAACTATAGGTCAAAGTTCGGCCTTTAAAAATTAATAAAACACGTACCGCACAGTAAGTTATAAAAAGGCCCCAAAATTACAAAATAACAAATGTAAAACAATTCAAACTAGAAAATATGTAAAAAAAAACTATTAATATCATAATTATATTTAGTGCACCATAACACGATATTTGCCCATAGAGGCATGGAATTGTTTCCCTTCCATCCAGTGAAACTTTGTTCATTATGGTTAAGAATGGAGATATGAATGATACCAAAATGATACTAGAAATCAAACTCGAAAACGAACTGGCAATTCTGTTAAAAAAAACAAAAAAAAAAAAAAAACGCCAAGGATACACGGTCTCCATAAACAAAATAAAAACAAAAGACTACGCAACACGATCCCCACCAACAACTTTGGGTTAGCTTAGTTTAAACATATTGTATTTACTCAAAGTAAAATGGATTGGACACAAGTAACCCATAATTATGAACTCCGCTCTGAATAACAATAAATTACAATACAATATTAATGTGAGCATGCAATAATTCTGAATATACAATACTATAAGAGTCTATCTATTGAAAAAAAAAGATAAACAATAATAACGGAAACATTGATAATAATGATGAGGATGATGACGTGAATGTACCGCAAATAAACTATTAGTATCATATAACAAGAAATCTCTCAGACCTTTTAATAAACTCGAATACATGTTTAAATATATTGACGTTTTGTTCATACGAAAGGTTCGGATTACCAGATGTTAGTAACTTAACATTTAATATAAGGTCACCAGGGAGCCATCTTAGATTGTTCATCAGAATTTCTCTCTGGTGTGTATATAAAGAACAGTCGAAAAGGAAATGGTGTACAGTCTCAATGTTGCATTTACAAAAACAAGATGGGTCAGCAATTATATTCAATTTGACTCTAAACAAGCCATAGTTCAAGAAAGATGAATAGCATCTGAATTGTGTTAGAATTATATTTAGTTTCCTCGGTCCATATAAATAGTGCTTCGGTACATCTTTATTTATAGTATTTAGCCTTTTTAATTGGATTTTAAATTTTGAGATAGAGTCTGATTTTCGAAGGGACAAATTGGTATGATTCCATAGTCTAATTGTTGATGGTATAAAAGATTCTTTAGTAAGGGATAATCTACAAAAAGGAACAATGATATCATTGCCATTTCGCAAGGAATATACAGTTGTGCTCTGTACACTAGGTGGAACTAGATTACATAGATAATCCGGAACATGTTTATATTGAATGTTATAAAACATTTGTAATTTTCGTCTTTTCCTCCTGTCAGCTAAAGTTTCCCACCCAACTTCCTCATACAAATTTTCAGATCTTGTAAATATAGGCAAACCAGTAACTATTCTAGCAGCTTCTAGCTGCAGACTTTCAAGTTAATTAGCATATCCTATCCCACAATTATCCCAAACCTCAGTTGCATATTCAAAAATTGGTATAAATACTATATAGAGTTTTTCTAAGTTTTTCCTACAAAGTTGATACTTGAGTTTTCTCGGTATATTTAAATGTTTCGTTACACTAATAATCAGATTGTCTATATGGCTTTTCCACCGAGCATCAGAGCAAAACGTTACCCCAAGGTGTTTTTGACATTTTGTAATAGGAATTTCTTTGTTATTTAAGCAGAATTTTAGATCTGGAGCGTCATTATTTGAAAAAATCATTATTTCTGTTTTGTCTGGATTAAAAGACATAAACCACCTTCTTGACCATTCGTTCAGCTCCTCGAGGTCACGACCAATAACATTTTTTATATGTTCTTCGTCGTGCCCTGAGTAATGAAACGAAGTGTCATCCGCATAGAGTCTGGTCAGGGATGTGAGTTTCTCTGCAATGTCATTTATATATATGAATTGGGTTAGCTCGGGTGCTCCGGAAAGGTAAGCAGATCTTGCTCCACACGTGGCACAGGTTGTAATGCACATGTAAGTACAAACCCGGTGATAAGTCAAATTCGGTGGATCACATTCGAGGAAAAGAGGATTGAATTGAAAATACGTCAACTGGGGAACATATGCGTCGCCATTTTAGAAACAAATATTCAATCAAAGTCAACCTACTCGTGAAGGCGTTCGTAAATTTTTGAACAAATTATACCTTGCAAGCATCAACCCTACATAGAATTGCTAGTTATCATAATGTTTTTGTAAACGTGTTTTTTTTTTTCTCTCTTGAGAGCTTTATATAGTTTCAAAAGTGTCTAAACGTTGTAATCATGTGATATATTTTTGCCAGAGGAGAATGGTAAATGGAATGTTCTTCGATGTGAAGGGGGAGAAACTTCTGAAGACCTTTTGTTGGTTAAATCGTCGTCATTTAAATGCCGTGACCTCGTATCATTTTATTGTAGAAATGGTATGTTGATATATTTTGTCTTTAAATAATTGAATGTTGGTGATAGTACTTTGATAGTTCCTGCTAAATTTGATATTAATAGTGTCAAGCAACAACCTGAGGTTTTATTTGTTAACACATAGGATCTCCAATGTTATGTTTTCGGTCAGGGACATGCTAGGACAATACATTTAGAAACTCTTCTACATGATCATAAAGTGGCAAGTTACATTTTTGCATTTAAAAAATATTTTAAGAAAATAATTGTAAAATGAACTTATGATGGTAAATATAAACATAATATTGCTTAAAGCCGATTTCAAAAAGGTAAGAATTATGATAGATAAAATCATTGCATAATGTTCAAAATGATTTTAGAAATGCTTAATTTTATTTGTTTTAAAAAGCACTTTTTATCTACTTGTATGCAATATGTTACACACAGGTTCTAGTCCACAGAAGACCATAACAACAGTGAAATCACTGGAAAGCAATTTTACCACGCCAATGAAACCCCGTCAGATTACTCCGCCGATAGGTATTTCTTATTTTTTATGGAAATAATACACATATCACAAACTTATTAATGACATTAATTACCACCAAGGTATACGATGAATACAATCTGGGAACAGTATAAATATTCCTGATACAATACAACTTATTTTGGTAAGGCTTTGTATAATAAAGACATAATATTGCAAAAAGCCGATTTCAAACAGGTAAGGACTATATATAAAATCATTGCATAATATACAAACTGATTTCAGAAAATTAATTCTCAATTTGTTTTATAAAAAGGATTTATTTATCTATTTGTATGCAATATGTTATACACAGGTTCTAGTCCACAGAAGAGCATAACAACAGTTAAATCACGGGAAAGCAATTTTACCACGCCATTGAAACCTGATCAGATTACTCCGCAGATAGGTATTTCTTATATTTTCTTAAGCTTGTTTTTTATTGAAATAATACATATATCACAACCTAAACATTAATTACTATCATAGTATATGATATATACAATTAATTACAATAGCATACAAGAAATACAATACGATATCACACCATACGAGAACATACGAGAACATACCATACGATACCATACGATACCATTCCATACGAGACGAGACAAGACAAAACGAGACGAGACGACACAAGACAAGACAAGACTATTATAATGAATGTAATACAATACAATAGTATACAGTATAACACAATGTGAATGATAAAGGTACCATAATACAAATAGTACGATATTTCTAGACCCTATTGCTATGTTCACCTGAGTAATAATTGCTGTTGCCTATATACGTTTTTTTTTTTTCGTTTGCAATATTTATTATATTTTGCTGTTGTATCTGAAAGGCCGACTTGTTACTTCGCGAGATCAATGGAGGGTATTATTGTCAGTATCAACGCCATATTTGCTTCTCAACTAAATTGATTTATATAAAACATAGGAACAGTTCATGTTATGTACACCGTTTTAGTAATAAATTCATGTATGTTTGGTGCTTCAGGCGTTATAGTTGGTATTGTATCACCAATCGTTGCTATTGGAGTAGTAGTTTTTGTAGTGATAGTCTGTCGTCGACGAAGGTATGTTAACTACGATTGTAAGGTAAAAATTATCAATATGACTGGAGAATCTTTTCATATACTGTCGATTTATTATTATTCTTTAGATACCAATTTCCGTGGATTTCGTGGGTTCAGATGAACCACAAAATTTAGTGTTTATCTTAAGATAAGTTTTCAATAATCAAATATCCCCGAAAAGTTTTGTTCAATCCCCGAAAATTAATACCAACAAAAATAAATAAATCCACAGAACATTAAATTTAGGTCTCTGTCGAGGGTTGTCTTTTTTGCACATCTTCTTATTTTTATGTTCTATCAATTGAGAAGCAGACATATTGGACATTAAAAACGGAGAGAAGATGTCACAGATAAACAATACTGGTCGGGCTGGAGTTGCTGGAGTTAAAATAAAATGTCCGAGTATTGTGTAATTAGATATAAGAAGATGTGGTATGAGTGCCAATGAGACAACTCTCAATCCAAGTCAAAATTTATAAAAGTAGTAAACCTTTATAGGTCAAAGTACGGTCTTCAACACGGAGCCTTGGCTCACACCGAACAATAAGCTATAAAGGGCCCCAAAAATTACTAGTGTAAAACCATTCAAACGGGAAAACCAACGGTCTCATCTATATAAAAAGAAACGAGAAACACTTATGAACCACATCAACAAACGACAACTACTGAACATCAGATTTCTGACTTTAGGACAGGTGCAAACAAATGCAGCGGGTTTAAACGTTTTAACGGTACCAAACCTTCACCCTTTTTCTGAAACAATAGTGCAACATCACAACATAGAAAGACACACTATAAAATATCACCTGAAATAGCTTAACTCAATCAAAGGACATATTAACACCAGTGAACATACACTGAACAAATAAATTTGACCTATGATACAATGCAAATACAAAATAAATAAACTAAGGGAAGAATAATAAAAGTAACATGTAATACCGGTATGAAATGTTAAACAATTTAAGAAAAAACAATATGCTCGAACAAAAATATTAGCCATTTGCAATTAATTTAAACACAGGTAAATGAAAATATTTTTTTTGTTTGGTATACGTGTACAGTTCCAATAGAGAAAGGAAATATTTTTACAAAATAAATAATTTTGATGTTCATAGTACGAAGTGAAAATTTATAGTAATACCAAACACTTATCAAAGCTGGTATATAGACCAGATATAACCCTGAATAACATTAAATAACAAAAAAGCATTACAAATAGTATCAACAGGTTAAATAAACAAGAAAGTACGATTTGAAAGTACTCGCAGTTACTGACAGCTAGTTAAAAGCCAAAACAATTAATAATAAAAATTCATGCATCAGAGACTAAAATCAACTAAAACACATCCCAGGGATTTAGTATTTTAACGTCATGGACAGTCAAAGAAGACATGACTTGTGCAATGCCAAAAATAAATGTATCGACAGACAGTAGGATAGTTAGGAGTTTAACCTCTTTATAGATGTCTTCATGTGCACTGTTACATGTACCATATCAAATAGCACTTTAAAATCAGGTTCAGCGTGTAGGTCAAGCTCATAACAGAATTCCTATTATATTCACATCAACGTGTTCCCGTCTTGAATATGTATTTCATATGGCACTGGGCGTTAAATTAGCATCAAATTCCTTCAAAAGGGACAAACGAAAGTTTTAAAGCAAATGAAACCATAGAACATCAAGATGACGAAAAGAAAAACAACAATAGCAAAACATTAATTACAAAAAAAACGGATTCCAATAAAAACCGGTGTAAAGTCAGGTGTTTTCGTTTGTCCCTTTTGAAGGAATTTGATGCTAATTTAACGCCCAGTGCCATATGAAATACATATTCAAGACGGGAACACGTTGATGTGAATATAATAGGAATTCTGTTATGAACTTGACCTACACGCTGAACCTGATTTTAAAGAGCTATTTGACGAAGGGTTACCGTTTTTGCTCCATAGGTTGCACTCGTCGTGTCGCTCAAATAAAATAACAATAATAATCAAGCGAAACAAATCGGTACAATTAACAAAATCGTCAATTCATGTGTTACCTGATTCCATTTTGTTTGCAAGCTCAGAACATTTCGTGATTTTGTTTCTTTTTTGTTTTGCTGTTGTAGATCAGCAAGGAGAAAACCGGTTCACAAACAAGATTCACATGGGCAAAGTGATACGGAAAAGATTGAACATTTGGGAAACAAAAATGGCTATGCCTACTGTGAAATTGAAATGGAGGCTACCAATAAAAAAGATCACATGGATAATGGTGACAATGAATACACAACTGGGACATCAGATGTATATGATCATTTGAATGAACATAAGAACAGAAAAATACAAACAGAGAACCCACATGCTATATATGATCACGCTATTGGAGACAATGCTGAACCTGATTACGACAGTACCAAACATGTTGTACCGACAAATCTGGATTACCAAGAAGTCCGAATTCGCAGTGAAGACGAAAGCTACAGAGAGAAGCTTTAACTTTCCGTTCAAACTGTTATGCATCAAGGTGGACTTTCAATTCCGTTTCTTGCTTTTGAAGGTTTAGTTACTATCCCATGAATCACATTTTAATGTATGTAGTACAGAAATATTTAGAAATTGTTTCAATATTTAGAAGTGCATAGTGTCAAGTACTGGGGTATCTTATATAAAACAATCGTTATTTTATCAAGTATATGTACTCGGGAATAGTTGTCAGACAGTGCTTAATTATTTTTTTTTTATTTGTCTTTTTATATTTATCATTTGCATTCATATAAACAATGATACAGAAACTGTTAACACAATAAATGTACATATTTTGCAATCTTTTTTTTCGATAAGCCATATGTATTAGGTCATCATATTAAATTGTCTATCTGGTGTCTTGTAAACCGTTGTTTTGTCTTTTTCTTTGTTTTGTTTTGATTTTTTTGGGAGGAATGGCATTATAAGTTGTTATCGACTTATGAGCTTAAATGTCCCTTTGGTATATTTTGCCTCTATTTTGATGCAATATACACGTATGACAGTCGCATCGTAACCATTGCAGATGAAACATAGCAAACAAAATTAAAGATATTTAAAATTAGTAACGCAATACATTTTCTTTTTTTACCACGATAACGGTTTAAAAGACACAGAAAACCTTAGCTAATTAATTATAGTGGTTCCAGTATCGAGTTATTGTTGAAAACACTAAACGTTGCTGTCAATACATGTAGTATATATATCGTATATACTCAACTACAAAACAAACGCACAACCTCCATTGATGTCTTTGAAGTAAAACCGTGTACAATCTGAGAATTTCCTTAATTTTTTGACATCTCAAAATACACATTCAATCCGTCAATGATTTATGTTTTGATGCTGAGGTATATATTATTCTATAACATTGAAAAATAACAGCTTAATGTAAAAAGCTTATATCAAATATGCTAGTAACACCCGTAATGTTTAAAAAATGCATATACTCTAGGCAAAACATTGATTTTGAGCACCGCATTCAGGCTATTTCGTGGCGGCTAGTTTTTATCGGTGGAGGAAGCCGGCGTCTCTGGAGAAAACTAACGACCTTCGATAGGAAAACTGACAATCCTAGCCAATTAAGATTGGAGTTGAGTGCACGAGCGGGTTTCGAACTCATAACCTCAGTGTTGACTGGCTAGTGATTAAAGTCGTAACTACTTAGACCACTCGGCCATCGAAGTCCCTACTACTATGCCCAAAAAATAGTTACATGTTTGTTAAATCATTTATATTTTTATAACAAAAAAAATTATAACTTATTCATTTTGAAAATAACATCAATTTTTTCTCTATTTAAAACAATATTTCACATTTTCGGACAATTTTAACAGGAAGAGTACAAAAGTTCAAGTTAACATGTCAATACGGTGTTTGACCACCTCTTGCATTTATGACCGCGAATAAAGTCTTGAATAATGTTGATCAATTTCCTGAAAAGTGCTGTTCGCAGCTGGGCGAGCGTTTTTGGTGGATTTTGATCATTTCTGAAACGTCGCCTAAGTTCGTCCCAAAGATGTTCGATAGCAACACATGAATGTGATTATTCTATAAAAATGAAATTCGTGCCACGAGTTAATGGGCGTTGTCCTGCTGAAAAACGTGGTTAAAAGGATGTGTTCTGATGAACGGGAGATCAACTAGAATTTCGTCCATATATCTTGTTGCATTTAGGTTACAATCAGTGATTTTAACTCGTTGCGTTCCTGGTTATTCCGACTCGTATTATATTTCCGCCACCTCAAAACCGATCTATTTTTTGTAGGCACGCATAAGAAATTTGTTCATTGTGTCTCCGGTAGAGTCCCTGTCTGTGTCGTCATTAAATTTCAAACGGAGGGGCGAAAGATACCAAAGGGAAAGTCAAACTCATAGATCGAAAATAAACTGACAACCCCATGGCTAAAAAAGAAAAAGACAAACAGATAAATAATAGTACACTAGACACAACATAGAAAACTTAAAGACTAAGCAACACGAACCCCACCAAAAACTGGGGGTGATCTCAGGTGCTCCGGAAGGATAAGCAGATCCTGCAGATTCAAGTTGAATGTCGACTCATCGGTAATAATAACCTGTCTCCTTATAAACTTATTCCATCGAATATATACCCGAGCCCAATGAAGTCGCGCTACATGTTTCGGAATTGCCCACTAAACCAGGGACAATGGTGTAATAGCACAACATATAAACAGACTATAAAAATCAGTTAGAAAGGGCTCAACTCATCAGATCGATGAAGAAGGGTACTTATACATTCCTACTACAAAATCAAAATACAGTCCTAAGAGTACTCGCAGTTATTAAAAGCATGTACAAAGGTCATGTACCTAAGACTAAAATGTTATGTCGTACACCTCCACAACTGTCGTGTTTAAATACTTTTGGTTTGTATCTCCGTTACGTCATCAAACATGTTTTCTTCGCATCAAGGTAGAGCTATTAGTTTCAGTCGATATACACGCCATCTTGAAATTATTACTAAACAACGGGAACTGTTACATGTTGTTCTGATTGGTTGTTTATGGGTATAGCTCAGATTCTATTTGCTTGCATTATTTATAAGATTAAGAACAAATAATTAGGAAAGGAAAAAAATGTTTTATACGGATTCATTTGTCTGAGCTCTCGAAAAGTGGTGGTCCGAAAGGTTTTTACCGCCAAAGTTTTGAAAAGGACCAACACAATTTTGATATTTTGAAACACCTTTGACATGATAAAGAATGAAGACGATTTTCAGAGAAAAACTGATTTCGAGATCTCTAGTATAGGTATTCGAGACCCAATCGATAATTATAAAAAAGAAGATGCGGTATGATTGCCAATGAGACAACTCTCTACAAAGAGACCAAATGACACAAAAATTGGCCGCTATAGGTCACCGTACGGCCTTCAACAATGAGCAAAGACCATACATAGTCAGCTAAAAAGGGCCCCGAAATGACAAATGTTAAACAATTCAAACGAGAGGATAATATTCACATTATTACAGTAACTATAACTACAATGTATCAGACCTACATGGAATTTTATGAAATTTCGCCAGAAGCTTGTTTATTACTAAAAGACAGTATCTAGAGCAAAATTTTCAAGAAATCTATTTCATTTCAATCATTTTTCCGTATTTTACAGATAAATGGACTTCAATTTTTTTACAGAATTTTATCAAACCTTGGTTGAAGCTTTTTTTTATGATTAAGAGATAATGTCAGAGGCAAACTTTTGAAAATCTTATTTTCATTTTCATTTTTTTTTCTCTAATAGATATATTTAGATTTTATACAGTTAACTTTCAGATTCAGTTTAAAGTTAAAGTTTTTCAGGCATAAATAACTGTGTCAAATTTTTATGGAATTTTATGAAATTTGGAAAGAAGCTTGTTTAAGACCAACAGCCAGTATCCAGAGCAAAATTTTGAAAATGATTAATTTCCTTTTCCGTATTTTACTGATAAAACTCCAATAACTTTGTCAAACCTCAATAGAATTTTTTTTGAAACTTTGGTAGAAGCTTTTTAATAAATGAGAGATAATGTCTGAAGCAAACTTTCGAAAATATTTATTTCTTTCATTTTCACTATTTTTCGGATAGATGGACTTATTTTTTTTTACATTTAACATTTACAGACAGTCTGGGATAACAAAAACATTTGGACATAGTAAATTTGTATATATTCATAGATAGTTATGAGACTTGGACAGAAGATAATCTTCAAATTAAAAAAAAATAGCATCTAAAAAAAATATTTGATTTTTTTTTTTAATTTTGTATTTTATTTGTAAATGGACTTACTTTTTACAATTAACTTTTAAATTACACTTTTACACTATCAACAGCACTCGCAGGCAAGATACATGGTCCCGTAGAACCTTTACAAAATTTTCTACGAATTACCTGAAACAAAACAGGCAATTTTCTGAATGTTGCTTCACATTTTCGGTCAATTTACCAAATGGATAGTTTTTTTTTAGGCATTTCATATAACGTCTGTCAAGGTTAGGCATTTTTGTAAATTGCTTGAAAATTCAGTCAATTTACAAAATGCCTAAATTTACAAAATGCTAGTAACATACAATGCAATACAATACAATACGATACGATACGATGCGATACAATACAATACAATACAATACAATACAATACAATACAATACAATACAATACAATACAATACAATACAATACAATTGCTGTGTTCACCATACTAATCATAGTTAATACTATTGTTTACATCGTTGTTTTTTTTACTTAAGTAACAATTTTAGATTTTACAACATTCTATAGAAATAAAATAAGGTATTTTCATAAACTGCGACTACATGTGCTCGAATTTAGGTTTTCTTTCCCTTTACCTCAATCTCATTCTCGAATAACCTATATTTCGTTTTATTCATATTGTGAAATTATGGAAACTTGTTCTTTCATATACTATACTAATACTATACTAATGAAGAGTTCATGTTATGTAAACAGTGTGTGTAATACATTTATTCATTGTTTTCAGGCGTTATAGTTGGTATTGTATCATCAATCATTACTATTAGAGTAGTAATTTTTGTAGTGATAGTCTGTAGTCGACGAAGATTAGTCAATTACGATTGTACGGTTAAAATACTCATTATGACTGGAGAATCTTTTTAATCACTTTTTTTCTCCATTTTTCTAAACATATATATACATTTGGTCTCTGGTGGAGAGTTGTCTGCTTTGGCAATCATACCAGATTTTCTTATTTTTATAAGTTTTAGTTACCAAATGTCAAACGTTTAAGTTATCAAATGTCAAACGTTTGGTTATGTGTAGATACACGATAGGAGGGACTAAATTGCACGAGAAAGCTCTGCTTTCGAAAACAATTTAGACCCTCCTATCGTGTATCACACATAACCAATCGTGTGCCATTTGGTAAATCACATGTGCCAAACGTTCACTCGACGTCATCGCTAGCTCACGTTGTTTTCCCGCGGTAGAATTTCAGTTTGCGGTTTGATGTGTAAGGAGCAAAATGGATAATGCCAAAGTGAATTTACTAGAAATGGATTTTTTATATGCCCACTGGGATCAAAGTGTTGACGACATTACTTTATCCCAAATATGTACTGATATGGAAAATAAAAACACTGTTTTTGAAAAAATGGACGATTTAACCCTTTCACAGGCGTTAGATATAAGTACGAAGTTGACATGGATGTGAACCACGAGGTAGACATTTCTCAATTAGATTTTCAGTTAACACAGGTTCCAATAACAGCCGACAATGTAATTGAACAGTTGGAGAAAATCATCATGCCGGAAACCAA